TAGCTGAAAGAGATTGTTCTGAAGCTAAGCGTCCAAGTGATGTGGTTGCTTCAACAGCATCACCCTAAGGAGATATCGTGCTTGTGATGGATAAGCACACCGCAACTGCACACTAGCCACTTGGACGTGTGCTTATGACCTATCCAGGTAAGGATGGTGCTGTTCGGATAGTAGAAGTTTAAGTAGCTGGGAAGGTATACAAGCATGCAGTTCATCATCTTGAGCCACTGGAAGTAAAAGGTGCAAGTACTGAGCGAACTGTGATTGTTTTCATATTCATAGTAAAGAAAAAAAGATCAAAGAACTACAAGTTATGCTATACTGTCCACTAACACCACCAGTTACTTGACAATCAGCTCATGCAATAACAATAATTATTATAACATTGCACCAAACTGACCGACAGTACTGACGTTCTACAACAAACTGGCTATCAGCTCTAGCACGTCTTGTAGGTGCTTGGTCCTTTTCTTCCATCCGAGTTTTCATATTCAATTGCCATTGTTTTTGTCATGTTTTTCTTCTTGTTGTCTTCGTCTTTTACTCACTCATGTGATATTTATCACTTTTCTTTCACGAGGGAGATATGTTAGATTTAATCTCCTATTTCTGTGTAATTTACATGTACTACTGTGTTCAATGGTGGTGAACCACGATGCATTGATCATCATGAATGCATGTGACATGCGTCACAGATCTGGTTTCTATTGCTGGCATCTATTACGCCTGACTGCTTTCCGCCTTGGATTTGCATTCACAACTAAATGTACAATTATTTCTGCATGGCTACATGCATGTACGATGCAATGCTGTTAAAATTTATGTTGTTGCCTGTTCATACTGTCCTGGAGCTGGAAGGACGCTAGTCTTACTTACTTCTTCTACTTTTAGTTGTTGCTATCTTGCCTAAATGGGCAGTTAATATTTGCAGCAGTTGTGCTTCGGTTCATAGTTGTATCAAGGAAAGTTAGAACATATGGTTCTCTGTGCTTGTAAGACCACAGTGTAGCAAATGTAACACCTTGCATGCTGGAACTAGCTGGCCGCACACATGCACTCTTAGCCACAACAACAAATAGCACCCGAATATATACCCTCCAGTTGCATGAGAATAGTGTTGTACATCAGTAGTACTAGTAGTACAATATTCTATCACAACGAAACCCAAAAAAGCATGATGGGAATAAGTGATCAATGTTGAGAGAGTGTGTGTGTGCTAGTGTTCATGAGAAAGCAACAAAAGAAGAGAAACTGAAAGATAGAAAGAGCTTGTGCCTGTGTGTTAGAGAGAGAGAGAGAGAGAGAGAAACTGACAGACACAGAGATAGACAAAGAGAGATACAGTGTACGTCAACAGAGAGTGAGAGAGACACACACACACACACACACAGAAAGAGAGATGGAGAGACAGACAGAAAAAAGAGAGTAAGTATGTGAGAAAGCGAGCCAATACTTCGTGCCGAGCTTGATCAATACGCGATCAATAATACAGTCAAATAAGGACATCCATGCTTTGTGAGTGAGTGTGTGAGAGAGAGAGAGAGAGAGAGAGAGAGACAGAGAGAGAGACACACACACGCACACGCACAGAGACAGAGAAGAGAGAGAGTGAGTGTACGTCAACATGCGTGTTGAGATGTTCCACGACAAAGTGCAGTGGATCCATGCTTTGTGAGTGTGTGTGTGAGAGAGAGAGAGAGAGAGAGAGAGAGAGAGAGAGTGAGTGTACGTCAACATGCGTGTTGAGATGTTCAACGACAAAGTGCAGTGGATCCATGCTTTGTGAGTGTGTGTGTGTGAGAGAGAGAGAGAGAGAGAGAGAGAGAGAGACAGAGAGAGAGAGAGAGAGAGAGACGCACACACCCACACACATACATACACAGAAAGAGAAAGACAGACAGAAAAAGAGAGTGGGTAGCATCAAGAAGTAGAGACTATACCAGCAGCTTCGACTAATATTCTTCAAGTTCTAGTTGGATGTGTATTGAAGACAATGGTAAGGGGGGGGGGGGGGGGTGTTATTGGAGTTGTTCATGATGAACAGTGTATCTACTAGGCACATGTTGCATCCATTGGTCCTGTTTGAGTGACAGTAGGCATGCAACCGGACAATGTTGGCGAAAGGCTGCATTACCAAAGAATTTGGAGAGAAAGAGAGAGAGAGAGAAATGCAGTGGATTCACGCTTCAAGGTGGCCTGCATCACTGGAGAGAAGACACTCACCCTGCACAAGCCCTATCAAATGCCACGTGCAGTTCATCATCGTTGAGTAAAACAATCACCAGTGCAAGCTGAATGGCATGCTCCATGCCTCGCTTCAACACACCGCGCGGTATTTTTCACGTAGCTCATCATGCTTCAAGGTAGCCTGCATCACTGGGGAGAAGCCCCTCACTCTGTACAAGCCTTCACGAGTGCTGTGTGCTCCTCATCGTGGAGTGACACCTTTTTCCAGTTATATCTACGTCAGGCGTATTGATTGATAAATATGGTGGTAAAGACACACCTGGCAGTATGGCGGTAAACACACGCCTGCCCACACACGCTCTCTAGGCTGCAAAGTTCTGGCACAGAGCTCTCCTTCTCACCACCAGCACCATCAGTTCGCGCCTGGTCGATGCATGGCTGGCGGTATCCGGCATAGCAGGCTGGTACATCAAGTAGCGCATGGCACATAGATGATGACACAGCAACGACATAGCTCGATTGCGACGTACGTTTCGTCCCCGCTGGACTCATCAGGCAAAGGCGTATTGATGCGCAGATAAGTCATGCATTGAGGCAGCCTGTATCACGGGAGAGAAGCCAATCACCTGGCAAGAGCAGTAGCGAGTGCGTGTGCTGTTCCTCATCGTGGAGTACCGTTAAAACTAAAAAACATGCGCCAATGGAAGTTGCTTCAGCACCTTCTCTGCCATGATCAAGTTGCTACACAGGTCCTCATCGTGGAGTCGTATCTTTTCCAGTGTACGTCAACAGGCATGTTGATGTGTTCCGCGACAAAGTGCAGTGGATCCATGCTTTGAGGCGGCCTGAATCACTGGAGAGAATCCAATCACCTTGCGAGAGCAGTAGTGAGTGCGTGTGTAGTTCCTCGCCGTAGAGTAACGTAGAACATGCACAAGTGTAAGCTGCATGGCACCCTTCACATCTCGCTTCAGCTCGTTCTCTGCCATGATCAAGTTGCTACAGACCTTGCACGCTGATTCCATACACCACTGCCACAGGTTATGTCTGTCAGCTAGCTACAGCAACAATATCCTCTTCATGAATGTTCAAAACTATTTTCTTGGGTCAAAATCAGCTCTCCACTGTCTACAACACAGCATGATCGCATGTGCATGGACAGGATCCAACTGCGATGCAGCTCTCCTGGAAGGAAGCAAAGTTCTCCTGTCGCCAATGCCATCGCTTGTCAGTGTCACTCCAGAAAAAATAAATTTCAATTTCAGATGCTACGAATTCAACGCATTCCAGTCTGCTTCCACCAAGACTACTACAGGGCATCTGATTTGACAAGGTATATCAGTAGGACTTGGAAAAGTCACAGTAACAGTTTGCAAGATCACTAGCCATTACAACAAGTATCAGAACATCAAAACAAACCTCGTGTAGATCCACAATTTCAGATTCAACCCATCGATCTACAATTTTAGGTTCCCTTTCCCGCCAGCTGGACATGCATGCATGCTCTCACCAGGCCGGGAGTCGTCAAACGCCGGTACTTGACGACTCCCTGGCTCTCACTTGTCAGCCAGCTCACACGTCTTGTCGACATGTCGTGCACGCGCAGACGTCCAGCACACACGCGTGTCGAAATGTGTTTTTTGGCGGGTAGTCGGCAAAAAATTAAGTGAGGGTCCCTTTAGTCCTTCGCTTTCTAAATAGAATAATTATAATACTTTCACACAAAACAAGCTCGGTGCAGCACTAATCACGGCAGGGGAACCCGACCCTCCACCATCGCCAACTCACGAAGTGGTGGTGGTGGTGATGGTGGTGGTGATGGTGGTGGTGATGGTGGGGGTGTTGATGGTGGTGTTGATGGTGGTGGTGGTTGTGGTCACGGGTGGTGGTGGTTGTGGTGATGGTGGGGGTGTTGATGGTGGTGGTGGTGGTGACGGTGGTGGTGGTGGTGGTGGTGACGGTGGTGGTATGATGGTGGTGGTAGTGGTGCTGCTGCTGATGGTGATGATGGCAAGTGTAGGTCCACTTCGTAAGCTTCCCGTCAATCCTTATGATGGCCCCTGCTGGATGAGATTGAAGTCGTATTTGCAGCAAAGAGACTACCCGTACATCCGTTTCTGATGGCGTAGGGTTTTCTATGAAATTCGACCTTTCTTTGTGTAAAGCCCGGAAGGTCTTTTTCAATCCCATTTTGGTCGCTTGTAGATTATGGGAGTCCTCTTGCCAGGCTTGGCTTCCCAAAACTTCAGCTGCATGCGCCGTTTCCTAAAAAAATTGTAGCGGTCAGTGTTTTTGTAGCCGACCAAGGACCTTCTTCGATCTTCGCTGTACTCTGTTTGTACGTAGATCTGCCCTCCTGGTCCCACGGCCTAGCCTGCCATTCCGAGGAATGACAACCGCCATAACGGGCATAGCTGTGCCATACCTGTGTGTTTTCGGTGTCTCTGGTCCTCTGAAGTCAAGGGTCGCGCAGAAAAAAACCCCGCGCGGTGTAGATCTACGACTCATAGCGTTCGTTAGCTAGTCGACGGCAGCTGGCAGATTGCAACAGTACGGTAAATACGCGATCCACTCGTACAGCTAGTGCATATATTGTCGCTTTCGGCCGGGGACTTGGCACTATCTACGACAAAGTAGAAGTAATGGTTCTAGCGGCTGATACTGCTGAAGCTAGCATACAGGGCGCTAGGAGAAGGGAAGGGCATCTGTTATAACGCGGGGAACTGGTTGTGCAGTTTGCTTTTGACAAGTTTTGCTCGCTGTCTCAGCTCAGGTCATTTGCATCGATCGCGACAGTCAACAACAACATGGCGACTTGGTAGTGCTTGTGCATGCAGCCATGCGTACCTGTACACGTGCACCGGCGCGGCGACGGCGCCGGCGAGTGGCGACTCGTACTCTGCTGATCTGGCGAGTTATGTCTACTTATGATCATGCATGTGACCCGCGAGGACTCCCAAAAGCAGCGCTGCCAGCATGCAGCTTGGAAATAAAAAATCCGAAGAAGGAGCCGGAGGACTGGTAAAGACTCTTGTTTGCAACAACTAACTTGATGGTAAATGAAAGCAGGCGTCTGCCAGATTAGGTAGCAATGTTTTTTCCCCGATTCCTCAACTTAGTGCATTAGAACTTAGAAGCTGTGCTAGGATAGAATTGATCCGGCATCCCCTAACTTCCACAGCAAGCTGCGTGTCGAAGAACGTGTAGTAGCAGGAGAGAACGAAAGGCGTAAGCTACTGGATCGTTGCTCGTTGCTGGTCCCGTGTCAGGGCAACCTGAGGATGTTTGGAGGAGAAGTGGAAAATGCCGCCGTCCGTCGGCAGGTAAGTGCGTCTGTCACCCTCCACTCACATTGCTAATAAAGCGTAGGGAAGTACGAGAAGCCCATGTACGAGTCAGAGACGATCGGGATGGTGACAACGACGCTGGGGTACACAGATTTTTAGAATAGAAGCCGCGAAGCCGGAACGCAATTCTGACTCGCCAGCATGCAATACGGCTTACTTTGTCGAATACAGTCAACTTCGCCAATAACGACTGCGGATATAACGACAATTCGCGAATAACGACCGAATTTCCATGCCCAGAGCAAAGTCCCATCTAACTGTATACATTTAACTTCGGATATAACGACTATCTGAATAACGACAATTCGCGTATAGCGACATGCTTTTAGTGCCCCCGAGGTCATTATTCACTGCTTGAATAACGACTTTCTGGGCTTTTGACAGCTATTTCAAGTACCTGTCAGTCAAGTACATGTACCTGTCATGCAGAAGTACCAGAACCTATGGTGATAAAAGGCACACATGCAAGAAAATGCAGCCAAGGGGGGGGGGGGGCTTTTTCTTCCTTTTTTATGTTGGCTTCAAATTGTTGGATTTACCAGCACACCTGTATGTATACAATGTACATGTAGTTGTACATGATTGTACAGTAATCATCATACATGTACATGTACATGTCCCTGGCCCTGAAGATGGCTCAAAAAAGCATATTTTTCAATTGATTTCCCTTGCATATTGAATTTTTAGTTCCTTTCAACTGCAATATGAAAATAAAGTACACATTGACATAGAGCAAGAAAAGAGCTGGATTTTGATATGCATGTCATACTATACAAAATATGGGTTCACATACATTCAAATGGGACTTCGGTTATAAGGACACTTCGCGAATAAGGACACTTTTCTGATGCCCCGCCGAATGTCGTTATTGGCGAAGTTGACTGTAGGCGATACCGGGTGAAAGTTGACGGTGCGTGCTTCGTGAAGGGTCATGATTTGGTGAATTGGGAGCCGCGTCCTTCACTCAGAAGTCTGTGACTTGATGAGTTTGTAAATCGCGTTCGCGGAGGAAGGACTCAGGTCAGGAAGGGAAGGGGGAAGGACAATCGTGGTGCTCTCGACTGAAGTCTTTTACTCAATGAAAAGAAACTAAACTCTGGTGGGCTAATGACACCCGGCAAAGCAAGTCCAAAAGATCGAAATCAGTTTACGATGGTAAAAGATCAGCGTTCACGATGCGTTGCTTCGGAACTACGTGAACCAGCGCGAGAAGCACAGATTCGCTGGTCAAATGTACAGTGCGTATCGGTTATAGTGTGGTCGTGTAAAAGAATAATTATACTGCCTACAAGAATGAACTCTCATGTTTTCATGATCATAACATGGATTTCAAGTGCACATTTATTCTTACAAGCAATTTTATCCCATAGTAGAATATATCGGTCCTAAGAATGGACTTTGTGTAGCGAAACATGCCAGATCGGTACAAAGTGTATCGCCTGCAGTAATAACATAATATTATGTCCAATTCCGTTCTGATCTGACTCTCGTTGCGTCGTAGTGCTGCATGATTCAACTGTTGTGATCATGTAACTCATGTTGCATAGCCACATGGTAAGCCTATGCGACTATGACCAGCCACACTACACACAGTGCACAGAAGTACTGCGTTGCATGTACGATGATCTTCCTGCCCCCTGCGCACATGCACATGATATGCCACACTTGATTTATCGTGTGTAAGAAAGAAAATTTATATCGGAAATAAGAATAGAAAGTCGTTTTTCAAACATCCAAGCTATAACCGATACCTACTGTACATCGTTTTATGAGTGTTTGCATTTCCAACATCATGCACACGGGTTGGCTGGGGGAGTCAACAACGCGACATTCGCAGACGTTTCCGGTACCTCTGATTTGTTGACAACTACGATAATACCGTTAGGTTGATTGCAAGTCATGCCACCAGGGGCCGTAGATCCTGTGCCTTCCTCAGTGGCAGAGCCTGCTGTTCAGTCTTGATGACAGGCAAAGTCACTGCTTGACCTGCACTGGGTGCACGTGTTGTAGCAGCAGCGTGTAATACACCTGGCTAGTTGAGATGATGATAATACTGTTCAGAGCCGCCAGAAGCAGATCTGGCCATACCATAGCCTTTCATACAGTGTTGTGTATGATATAGCAGCTCCACTGTGACATTCTCTCCTCAGTACTAAGCATGCATTGGTGGCTAACAACAAGTTGGTCTGGTGTTGACCTGACCAACCGGACCAGTTCTGGCTGGCTGCTGCTAGCAGGCGCGTAGCACCGCCGTTGGAGGTGGTTCGGCTGGAGGGGGGGGGGGGGGGGCTGGGGTTTCCAGCGGTAAAATTTTGACATTAGGGTGCAAAATCCTGCATTCTGGGCACTTTCGGCACTTTTCGGGCGAGAAAGTGGTCCAGCCACAGCCGGACAGGCCGGACCAGCTGCCATGCCCCTGGTTAAAATGACGGTACAACCTCCCCCCCCCCCCCCACACACACCTGGTGTAATGCCCACTGTCCGTGTATGCACCCGGGTACCGCATGCCAGCACTCTCTTTCCTTCGAGTCGAGCCCACCTCCGTATGAACGACCAAGGGCGAAAGCACAGGCCTAGTGTCCAATGCAGCGCATGCCAGCTCCGAGTGTGTGTGCAAGTACATACTTATGATAATCACATGGCTGATCTACAGACTGGGCATCCCACACCTTGTTGTTATCACAACGAGTGCGGGATCTCAGATTCGACATCTCGAATGGATAGCCACACCTGACTTGAGAGCTTGAGAAAATTAACACACTCCATACTTGACTCGTACCCCCCCCCCCCCCCCTCTCACCACACAAACACACACACACAAACACACACATCAACTCAACCATGGCTGTCTCACGCCCACTTTGCACTTGATGAAATGCTCACTTACTGTAGAGGCAGAAATTTTCGTCGGTCAATAATTTCGTCCAACTCCAAAAAAAAGGAGTTCGTCCGGTTGAAAATGTCGTCCATCGATCATAAGAGTGTGTAGAAAAGCTGGGCAAATCGACATTAGTCCTACAATTTAATTTAGTCCAAAAGGTCGTTGGACGAAAAAGACGAAATTAAATTCCAGACTGTATATTGTGATGTCTTAGTGCTAGCTCGTAACGTGTTTCAGATTACATGTAGTAGTGTGAAGTATGTAGTGTGAAGTATGTGTTGATATGTAGTGTGAAGTATGTAGTGTGAAGTATGTAGTGTGAAGTATGTAGTGTGAAGTATGTAGTGTGAAGTATGTAGTGTGACGTATGTAGTGTGAAGTATGTAGTGTGAAGTATGTAGTGTGAAGTATGTAGTGTGAAGTATGTAGTGTGAAGTATGTAGTGTGAAGTATGTAGTGTGAAGTATGTAGTGTGAAGTATGTAGTGTGAAGTATGTAGTGTGAAGTATGTAGTGTGAAGTATGTAGTGTGAAGTATGTGACTGTCCCTGTACTGTCTTATAAGAGCCAACTTTGTATCGTTCTTCTCCTATATCCCTGATGATGCCCTCCTGGGTGAAAATTTGGATAATTTCAACTGTACGTGGTGTAGCCAAGGGCTGTTTGTGGGTTGCGAGTTGGGTATACTGAAAATAATCACTATGTTTGTAGAATTACCCGTTACCCCTGGTGGTAGCGAATATGTTGACTGGAACATCTGTCTAATTCACGTATACGCCCGGCCCCACATTTGCGCTGCCTTCTGTTATGTGGCGTCGGGTACAACGGAGATACAAATCTTTTAAAAAAAAGCACGCTACCCAGGGTTTTTAGCGCTTTTTGGCAGCCTCCTTCCAGGCCCGCCTGATGTGTCATGAAATCTTTCCGAATTCTACTGACGTAGAAATCACATTGACATTTCACCATGATAACTGTCCCATTCCGTATGCCTACTGTAAGCCGTGGAAAACCAGGAAACACTTGCGCCGGTTTTTAGTTCACGATTTGAGCGCACAATGACAAATTTGCACCTGGAGATGTTTGCGATTGGAGTCAATTTCCTCGGTTTCTTTACTACACTTGTAGGTTTCGCATTGGCTTTTGCGATCTAACACTCATCGCGAAAGCCGCGAAGGATTCCGGGTTAACAGTACAGTCTGACCTCGCTTAACCGCACACATTCGTTTTCCACAAAAAAATATCCGGATAGACGAGGGAACCGGATAATCGAACACTGGTTATGTTGGATGCATCATGCATGCTGTGCAGCGTAATGATACTCATAACTGTACATAGCTTTCTCTCTGTCTCTCTTGCATTCATAACTGTGTGCGTGAGAGCTGCTTTCACACCTCTGCATGAACTCTGCATATACCGTACGTGAGTACTGCTTTCACATGCCTGGATAAACCCCGCACGAATGCACCGCTTTGTACGCACGCACGCTCCACACTTTCCATCCTTCCATACACGGACGAGTACTTGGGGACTCGGGCCTATGTTGCTTGTTGTAGCTCTACTCACTTGACTGCTTTGTTCGGACTTTCACTACTAGCGGTTCTGTTGTTTGGCTTGTAAATAAAGATGTTGGTAAACCCTAGCTCAGCAGTTTGCTACATGCTCTACATCTGTACCCAGCTATTTTCTTCCGGATGGCGAGGGATCGGGATAAAAGAGGACCGGATAAGCAAGGTCTGACTGTACCGCCTTTCCTGTCAGGCTGGGTGTGCCATGAAAGTGCTACTACTACCATAGTGTCTTGTATTAAAAAGCCTATCTCACAGAAGCCTACAACTGTAATAAAAACTCGGATGTTGAGCCAATAATAATTATATGAAGAGAAAAGGACCGATAAATTACTACGAACTTAGAAGTTGCGACTTCGGCGGTAACAGTCAGGAAGTTGCTCGTTGGTAATAGTCAGGAAGTTGCTCGTTGGAGCAACCAACTTCCTGATAAATTACTAGTTATGACTAACAGTCCACCAAGTCAGGTCGTCGAATGTCTCAATATCCTTGTCAGTTTTGTGCCTCGTTGTCGCACTATCTGACTAGATATTATCTCGTTATCTTGGTGGACTGTTAGTCTTCACTAGTAACTTATAGGTCCTTTTCTCCTGGAAGCCTGTTTTGAATAGGAGCCTGACTTTTCAAGATACACTGCCAGCACATTATACCCTGGTTTTAGTGTTGACACGCACGCGGAAATACCCGGTTGGAATGGAAGCCTGATGTGCATATACGCTAGCGTTGGTATCAGCTTCAACAGGAGTATTAAAGCCCGCCTTTGAGGGTATGTAATGAGATAAGCTGGCCAAGCAAGTAAAAGCCGGCCAAACCTAACAGGGGGAACAGAATGATTCCTGAAGCGAATGCAGGCCGACCGACCCCTCTCCTGTTGTTTTGTTCTGTCTTCCTCCTCACTGACCTCAGACTCTCCTCATCCAGCTGGTGTTGTCGGTTTTGCTTGCCGTTGCAACACCAGCACTCTGTTCCGGCTCCGGTTCAGGTTCAGGGTACTATCCGCTACCGGTAGGTGCACCACCGACGACATCACACGGTCTACATTCTGCCAATAGTAAGTGCCAGGAAACAGTGATCATCGATGGCATGTTGCCTTGGCAGCACCATGGCTGCCGCCACATGAGCTGCAAAAGGAGGATCCACGGGCGCCCGGCGTGAACTGGCTCAACCCCCCCCCCCCCCCGTTGTCTACTACCGACAGTACAGACCATTCAGAAAAAAAGATGAGCGCTGGCTCTGGAGAGCGCCCATATTTGGCGATTTTGTTGTACACTGTGCAGTGCCGCGAGATTCGAAACTTGAAAAGGGTCCAAAAGAGGTACCTCAACTGGGGTTCGAACCGCAAATGTACTGTTATGCAAGCGGAGTGAACGGCCTGGATTTTCATGGTTTTCCCCAATTCAGTGCTTTGGGGACAAAACCTGGCCGAAATCCTATTCTTATTATGGCTTGCTCTTTGGAGAAATAGACTTCAAAAATACATTTGGAAGAGCATTCCATGGGGATTGCCAAAACAATTGTGACGAAAACTCAAAATTTGACCCGTTTATGGCCAAAAGCTAGGATATCATCTTTTTCAGAATGGACTGTAGACCTGTACCAAGAAGGGGCCGTGTGTGTGTGTGTGTGTGTGTGTGTGTGTGTGTGTGTGTGTGTGTGTGGGTGCGCGTGCATGTGTGTGTCAAAAAAATCAAAAATACGGATTCACTGATGCCCTTGGATGATGATCTTGCTGCTAACCTCTTGTAACGTTAGAATGGCCTTTCACGAGATGGATCCTGCGCCAAACCTTCGAACAACATGCACAATGCCTTCTTGATCCTTGCAAACTCACACCTCAAACTGCACGTGTGTGGAATCCTTTACACGTGAGCTTGTTGGTGCAAATGTTGACAGTTTCTTCAACCAAAAACAACATGGTGTACGGAGCCAGTGTGTTAACAGTGAAGAACATAGTGACGGTGTTGACAATAAGCCTCTTTTACTGGCAACAAAACACAATTTGCCAAGATGAAGGATGATAACGCAAATAAAGAAAATATTGTGACGATGTTGACAATGTTGAAGATGTTGACGATGTTGTTGTTGTTGCTGTTGTCGTCGTCGTCGTTGCTGCTGCTACTGTTCTTGCCTCTGTTCACTGCTAGACAATATGTACAGTCCGGCTGGTGGTGATGGCAGTGGCGTAGTGCAAGGTCAAGCTGTTCAGCCGCGCCATCCCAATGGAGCCGGCAGTGGAGCAGGAGCCATCGCTGGTACCCAGCCCTCCGTGACTGTCGCACTGACCGCATCCGGCTACGGCCCTCTACCAGCTGGCGGCGTGAAACCGCCGACTCCTGCGTCAACAGCAGCGCCGGCAACAACACCGCTAGCAGGTAGTGGAAGCGGTCACTCGACGACACATGCCGGCCCTGTAGTTCCTGGACCAATATTACCACATGGCTCTGGCCACGCTGCCTTGCCATTTACTGTGGCCCCAGCCGCCACTGCTGCGAAGGTGGGAACAACAGCCGACGCAAGGGTAGAGACAAGCACTCACGGTTAGTACACACACTAACACACACACACACACATAAAGACACACGCGCACACACACACATGAACAGTCGAACACACACACACACACACCATGTGCCATGTACCATGTTTACGCCCGTCGCAAGAGAAGCACGCAAATCTGCAAATGCACTGGATGTGCACCCACAGATTTTCTCTTATAGCAACGATAGCGAACAAGATCTGAATGAGACAGATCAAGACTTGCGCCAGATAACTGTCTAATCCACACCACTGGCGAAGCCATGTGAATCGACCACCAATGCAAACCTGGTCTACACCACACGGAGTACATCGGCATAGAACGGCCAAGACAGTTACCTATGCACACCCTACACTTGCTGGGGTAACCAGTATAGACAGCACGCTGCTTTGATAGAAGCAGACACTAGATGCACTGGTACCTTGGAGTGAAATTGGAGTTACTTTACCAACCAGCCTCGGCTACTGAGTACTGGAACCCAGAGCCCACAGGCATACCAATAACCTCAGCCATGAAAGCTATAATTATAGTAACGACACACTGGATTGTGGAGCCGAAACTAGTCCCACTTCCACACACACACACACACACACACACACACACACACACACACATACACACACACCATATGCATGTGCCGTGTTTCCCCGAATGTAAGTCTCACCTTTTTACACTAAACTTCAAGAGCAAAGAAGGGGATGCGGCTTAGAATCGAGTGCCACTTCCTACTTTTGTGAATGTATTAAAGAAATTTTTCAGAGAAATTTTGAGTGCGTAGTGTGACATAATTGGCTTTACTGTTGTTGTTGTTGTTGTTGTTGTTGTTGTTGTTGTTGTTGTTGCTGCTGCTGCTGCTGCTGCTGCTGCTGCTGTTGTTGTTGTTGTTGTTGTTGTTGTTGTTGTTGTTGTTGTTGTTGTTGTTGTTGTTGTTGTTGTTTGAATTCTTTATTCTCACGATGGCACGTTGTTGTTGTTGTTGTTGTCGTTGTTGTTGTGTCGTTATCTTTGATGTGGCTTGTCTTGCCCCGTGTGTCTATGCTGAAGGATCCTCACTAGGAAGTGGCGTTGCAGCAACTCACACTGTCCTGACTAGTCCATCCAGTACGGGTAGCAATGGCGGTGGCCAGGAGAAGATCACCACATCTCAACCACTCAACAGCTCCAGTGATGGTCCATATGCCACTAAGTCCCCCGTGCAACACGCACCTGTTCACGGTGAACTGTCAGCCACTACCATGGATAACACGAAAACAGCTTCCATCGCGACGGCAAAATCCGTTCAGGACAATGATGGTGAGTTTTGCACGCAGGCAAACATGTACACGCATCCCACCTCTCTCTCTCTCTCTCTCTCTCTCTCTCTCTCTCTCTCTCTCTCTCTCTCTCTCTCTCTCTCTCTCTCTCTCTCTCTCCCTCTCTCTCTCTCTCAGTCTTTCTCTCTGTGTCCCTGTCTGTCTGTCTGTCCGTCTGTCTGTCTGTCCATCTGTCTGTCTGTCTGTCTCTCTCTCTCTCTCTCTCTCCCTCTGTCTCTCTCTCTCTCTCTCTCTCTCTCTCTCTCTCTCTCTCTCTCTCTCTCTCTCTCTCTCTCTCTCTCTCTCTCTCTCTCTCTCTCTCTCTCTCTCTCATTCTCTCTCTCTCTCTCTCTCTCTCTCTCTCTCTCTCTCTCTCTCTCTCTCTCTCTCTCTCTCTCTCTCTCTCTCTCTCTCTCTCTCTCTCTCTCTCTCTCTCTCTCTCTCTCTCTCTCACACACACACAAACACACATACACGTACACATACACACACGGACACACACACAGGCACGCACACACATTCACTCACTCTCTCACACACATGTGTCATACCTGCCAAGGATCCAGGTTTTTTTTCGGGATTATCCCGCAATCTTGGATGAACTCCCAAGATCCCGAAATTCCTGTCGATTATCCCGAAATTCACTGTACAAGAAACAGGCTTAATATTGTACTTGGAGCACTTCATATGACTTGCCACAGGCCGGTAGTTGTCCTTATTGATTCCGGACCACCATAGCCTGCAGTACCAGTGCTCCTTCCATAAACAACCCCTGAAAAACCTCCATTTTTGAGTCTTGAACATGCGTATTGAAAGTGTGATATTGTGTACATCCACTCTCCCTTTATCTCACTCTATCTGTCTGTCCTTCTTTCTCTCTCTCACTTTGTCTGTCTGACCTTCTCTCTCTCACTCTGTCTGTCTGCCTCTGCTCTTCCCTGTACATCATTCTTTTACTGGCTCCCTCTCCTCCTCTCCATCTCTGCCTCGTCTCTGTCTGTCTCAGTACTGATCTTGTTTAGTGACTATTGAAAGTAACCTTCTTGTTGTTGCTGCTGCTGCTGCTGCCGCTGTTTCTGTTTGTTTGCTGCTGTTGCTGCTGGTGTTCTTGTTGTGGCTGCTGCTACTGCTGGTGTTCTTGTTGTGGTTGCTGTTGCTGTTGTTGCTGTTGCTGCTGGTGTTCTTGTTGTGGTTGCTGCTGCTGCTGTTGCCGCTGGTGTTTTTGTTGTGGTTGCTGTTGCTGCTGGTGTTCTTGTTCTTGTTGTGATTGCTGCTGCTGCTGCTGCTGTTGCTGCTGGTGTTCTTGTTGTGGCTGCTGCTGTTGCTGTTGGTGTTCTTGTTGTGGTTGCTGCTGCTGCTGCTGCTGTTGCTGCTGGTGTTCTTGTTGTGATTGCTGCTGCTGCTGCTGCTGCTGCTGTTGCTGCTGGTGTTCTTGTTGTGGCTGCTGCTGTTGCTGCTGCTGGTGTTCTTGTTCTTGTTGTGGCTGCTGCTGCTGTTGCTGTTGCTGCTGGTGTTCTTGTTGTGGTTGCTGCTGCTGTTGCTGCTGGTGTTCTTGTTCTTGTTGTGGCTGCTGCTGCTGTTGCTGCTGGTGTTCTTGTTGTGGTTGCTGCTGCCGCTGTGCCAATCTTTCTTTGATGCCGTCCTCTGATGGCCACACCACCAGTAGGTGGCAGCGGCAACAGTGGCGAGTCAGCCGGCGGTAGCGTGTCACACAGCAGCCTGATGATCATCATACCCACGGTGGCCGTCGTTATTGTCCTGCTTGCCGTCGCTCTCCTCATCGTCATCAAGAAGAACCGCACCACTGCCGCCAAGCTGGCTGCGCTCAACTCCCAGTGCCCGCCGGCGAGCATGGACGTCACCAATGTCCGATACCAGAAGAGGAAGTTCAGCTCCAACTCTTCCAGCACGAGTTCGGCAGCCGGTGGCCGCCCGTACGCGAGCAGATCCGTTGACAACACTCCGCCGGACGACGAGAAAGCGGACTACGAGTACCCGACGGTGACCAAGGAGGCGCGCCGCGCCAACAGCAACGGCAGCAAGGTGTCGGGCGGCAAAATGTCTGTCGCGTCCACCGCCCAAATGCTGTCGGTGGACAGCGACGGCGACCAATACTCGTGCACGTACGCGTCCGGCTCGTTGGCCGAAGCTCGCCGCTGCGAGTCGACGGTTAGCGAACTGCCCGGCACTCTAGAGGAGGACATGTACATGATGTATGGCACGAGCACGGGCGGGTACGACAGCAACGCCGGCTCGTCGTTCGGCAACGTCAAGCGCACCATTTCTGACCCGGCTGCCTCGCAGTTCCAGGGCAAGGACAGGTCGCAGTCGGTCTACTCGGTGTACGGTGATTCGCCCGCCTCGTCGCCAGTCGCCGACGCCTACCACAACCGTGCACTGGTCAAGAGCAAGCAGCGTTACGTCAGCAGTCCTAATAAGGGTATGAAGTTCTCCCGGACCAATGCTGATCAGCTGACACTGGATGAGGATGTGATCCCGACGTACGGGACGACCAGCACGGACCGATATAGCACCGGGTTCGACATGTCCTCGAAAACCGCCTCGTGCGCCGCAGCCTCTGCGGCGGGTAAAAGTGATCGGTACGCGGCGTCCGCAGCAGCCGGTGCCAAGCGCAGGCAGTCCGACTCGACGCTGCCGACGTGGAAAGATATCGGGAAGATGCACGGTGGCTCGCACACGTTCACCCAGAGCATCAGCCGGCACATTGCCGGTCTGGCAGAGGCCATTGAGGCCAATAGCGGCATTGAGAGCGCATGCTCTGACATGGAACTGAACTGGAGCCAAGGAGAGTTGTCGGGTGATGAATCGCCCAACCTAGAAGCAGGCCGTGGCAATCAGAGGATTATTCCTAGTCCTTTGGCTACTCACAATGCGTCCCGTTCCAGCAGCACCACTAATATTCACTCCTCGCCACAGCAGAAGCTGCGCTAGCCGAGATGTAACGACACCCATACATGCAAGCGTGTATGCGTGTGTGTGTGTGTGCTCGCCAACGTGCACGTGTGTATACATGTGTGCGCATGGAACCTCTTTCCAACACTCCTTGACGATGCGTGTGTGAGGCTCTGTGTATTCTGAGCACCTTTGGATGGGACTTCAACACCGCCATGGACTTGCCTCGTTTCAAGGACATCGTCCATGCTCCTGCACCTGCTGTAGCGGCATTTGTTGCGCGGCGGTCTCTCTCCTCTTTGCAATGCTGCGTTCACGCTGCCTTTCTGTTTCTAGCTCATCGTGGCACCCTCTCTGTTAGCCAATGCAGCTAGCAGAGGGTGGCATGCTGCTTGTAAAGCACTGCGCACTGTTTGTTAGTGCCAGTTGTTGCTTCGTCACAATCTATTCTCTCCATTGGCAAATCAGCACCCACCACTAGTCATCCGCTCACACTGCGCCAAAAAACGGGCAAGAAGCTCTTCATTCACTTGACAGTGGCATGTGGCGCACGTTTCAGTAAGATTTTCAGTAACTAACTGCCCTCCTTCGCTCTTCGCACGCGCAGTGCAACCCTAGGAAATAGCTCCGCCCCCTAAACTTCTTAGCCTAAACACTCCAGTATACATGATTGTATTTATACCCAATGATTGTATTTATAGATATTTTAAGAATACAGCTTTTTCGATTCTTTTCTTGTATATTTTCGTACCTTTTTTGTAGCAGTGCACTCTACGGATTCCGCATGTTGCCCAGTACAGTTTGTTTGCTATCTTCTTTGACGCTATTTCTCGCCCGCCTTGAAGTTCTCAAGAACTGTCTCACCGTAGACGTGTACACACATTTCCTTCTAATACTAGCCATTAGATTCTTCGATGTTTTCAACGCGGTTGAGACTGGCAGATGCTGCCGACGTGGCCGTACTCGGTTAAACCAGGTTCCGTTGATGTGTTGGCGTCGAGCACCGAGCGTGCCGAGGTCCGGTGTTTCTCCCAGTGCTGGATTGCGAGCCTGTGACATGTACTTCACTTAAAATGAGAAAGCATGAAAACTGGTCTGTGAGATGTCGTGATTCCTTATCAGGAAGCTTGCATACGAACTGAGTGCTCCAGACGGCAGTCGTGCGTCAGTACAGTGTCAGTGCAGTCGGCAGGAAGCGCGAGCTCCGACGAATAGAGCAGCCATCTTCTTCTTCTAGGGAGCTGTATAGTTTAAAAAAAAAAAGAAACTCCCCGGTCCCGATGATGGTGGCAAGGAGCTTGAATTTTGTAGCCTTTCTTGCCATTAATAATATTCCGGCATTTAGGCTGCGTTTGTTTTTAGCTACCTGGTAGAGTGGAGTAGAGTCACTCTACCGATAGAGGTAGATGGTAGAGGTAAGTGCACGAACGGTATTCTACCGGATTTAGTAGTTTGCACGATATGTACGGGAAATGTTTCTCTTCTGTATGGAGGTGTACAAATCCTTGATCTTGCCGGAAATCCCGTAGCTCTACCAACTTCTACCGGCCTTTACCAACCTTTTCCTGGTAGAGCCGGTAGAGGAAAGTAGAATCTACCCTTTTGAGAAGAAGAAAACGAACACCTCTACCGAAAGAAGTAGTTTCTACCCAAACCTGTAGATCAAAATGAACGCCCCCTTCTACTGCCTGATTGTAACCATCTACGGGAGCATGTTGCTGTGCATCACAGGACAGTCTCCTTGGTACCAGTCTTTCGCCGTCTTTCACCTGTAGCTGTAGCAAGAAGTAGCCACGTGTGTGTGTGTGTGTGTGTGTGTGTGTGTGTGTGTGTGTGTGTGTGTGTGTCCTGTGCTCTGCGATGTCTGCCAGCGTACTTTCTCCCACCAGAAATACAAGAATCGCCACAAGTGCCTGGCCGAGAGGAGGAAGCCCATATCTGAGCAGTCCGGCAGCCGACTATGTAATGCGTGCGGGAGATGGTTCTTGAGTGCTGGCGGGCTAGCTTCGCATAAGTGTCTCTCCAACTCGGCTGCTGCAGTGGCGTCGGTCTCGGCTGTGGCATCGGCAGACTCGGTCCGGAAGCAGCGGGTTGCCCTGCCCTGCTGCAGAGCGCATTGTCTCGGCTGCGGTCGCTGCTGCAAGTCATCCCGTGGTTTCGACCTGCATAGCTGTGCTAAATTCCTGTCCAGGAAGTAGAGCGGCGTTTCTGGATCCAATGCTGAACTCAGTGCTGTCGACCCCTGCACAGGGGACACGTGACCATTTGATGTTACCAAGGTACCAAGGTGTGTGTGTGTGTCCCATATGGTGCAGTGGTATGTGCAGCGATTTCCAATCGATAGGTTGCGGGTTCGATTCCCGAGGATTATGGTCACACACGTCTTTCTTCTCTTTCTCAGACTCTTCCTGACTTTTCTTTCATTCTCCTGGGTGGTTACCAACAGCCAGTGCATGCCGGAGTATGTATTGTAGTGTGATGTGTGTGCGGGAAAAATAAACAAAAAGACCAAAAAGTAGGGATTCACTGGTCAGAAAAGCCACTTCATAGCTGTGTGGTGTAGACCAGGCTGAATAGTGGCGGCCAATTCTTCAGCCTTGCAAGCTGATGAATGGTGCAATCCCAGCACAAGTTGCTATGGCTTCTGCTGTAGCATCGCTATCATCGCCTCTGGCGATGGGCGTCCAATAGTGTGTGCAAGTTGCTATGTCTAACATAGCTGTTCGCTATCATTGCTTCCACGATGGGCAGGTCTGAGGTCTGAGTGTGTGTGCGCGCGCGCGCGCGCGTGTGATCCCTGTGTCACACTGCACCCGGATGTCACCATGCAAACACACCCGGCATCTCCAGAAGTCGACAAGACTCGTGTGACAGCACAGCATGCTATGGTCAGTAATACTGTTTTCCAGGAAGTGCCAGCCTGACAGGACAGGAGACTGCATTCGTGGCCAATGTGCATGCTTGGCATGTTATCGGACAATGCACATGCCCGTGGCCCATACGTCAGGCAATGTCCGTACCAGGGAGTCATAAAATACCGACTCCCTGGTCCGTACTCAGCTGGTGTATGTGATATCAGAGTACATGTACCCGTACTTAGCAAGTGTATACAGTAGAGTCGCGCGCCCAAGAACGTTGTTTCCAAGGCGTTAGCCTGGGACGTTCCTATTTTGTCAGCAATCTGGCTGCGTTCTTATAGCACGTTCTTAGAAACAATCCGTACTGGATCATATGTATCCCACAAGCTGCCAGAAAACCAACACCGCCGTCCTTAGCTTCAGGCTGTGGCGTTCTTAGCATTTCAGGCTGGACGTTCTTGGGCTCCACGTTCTTCAGTGCGCGACTCTACTGCATTACCGGAGAACGCCCTAAGCGAGTTCCACTGTATACATTTGTGATATCCGTACTAGTGAGCTACCTCACGTGATAGATCATTATCTTTCTACTCCTCTGCTCTAAGTTGTATCAGCCGCGCATGCTTTTCCGTTGTGCTGCGGAGCTTCTCTGTCGTTCTAATTCGACGTTCTAGTTTTGATCTTGAAGTCAACAGTTCCCCTTTTGTCTTGTCCTGAACTGCTCTGGTGTGATCATAATATTTGGCGACGAAGTCCTTGATTCAGCTGCCACGATGAGCACAGTAAAATCATTGAACCCGTTTGATCTGGAACCGCCTGAGTCGGTTGGCCCTCGTTGGGAGAAATGGCTGGCTCGTTTCGATAATTATTTGATTGCAGCAAACATCACGGAAGACGAGCGGCAGAGAGCCCAGCTCTTGCACGGTGGCGGTGAGGACGTGTTTGACGTCTACCTCACCTTTGACAGCAGTAGCATTACAAGTTACGACGACTTGAAGGATGCTCTGACGGCTCACTTCAGTCCGAAGCGCAACAGGGAATACGAGGTCTACTTGTTCCGTCGTGAGAAACAATCTCAGTCGGAGACCCTTGATAGCTACGTAACTCGTCTTAGGCGTTTGGGCAAGCACTGTCAATTTGCAGATATGGACACAGAGCTAAAGTCTCAGGTCGTACAGCACTGTGTGTCGTCGAAGGTACGTGAAAAGGCTTTCATGGAGAGCAGCATGTCGTTGGCAGACCTCCTTACTTATGCACGTTCAGTGGAAGTCACGATGTCGTCTGTGGCAGCCATGGCCGGGGCCAGCAGCTTCAGCAAGCCTGAACATCCCCAAGTCCATAAAGTGGAGAGGCGACACCCATCAAGTCGTGACCAGCCCAGTCCTTCCAGTAAGGCCGTTCGCAAATGTAGCGGATGCGGGGGGAAATGGCACGACAACCGCTCGGATTGCCCAGCATGGGGCAAGACGTGCAAGTCCTGCAGCAGGTCGAATCATTTCGCAAAGGTATGCCGGTCGAAGGCTGTGCATCAGTTTTCCGAGCAGAGAGCCCCGGAGTTCGCATCACCTGACCAGACGGCGGAATACAGTGCGGAGCTGCACCACACCAGTTGCTCTGGTCATGTGCGTTCCAACGTGGATCCTTATATGTGTAGTGTGAGTCTGGCTGGCACCCCTGTTGTGTTTGAGATAGACACCGGAGCGGCAGTAACAATAATCAACAAAGCGGAGTACCAGACACTGGCGTCGAAAGATACCAAGCAGCAACTCCCCAGTCTGGAGACGAATGACCTGCCGAGCCTTAGGTCGTATGCTGGCAAGATCATACCAGTTATTGGTCGTCTCATCTGCAATGCCCGTCATGCGAAGAACTCGGCTCAGCTGACCATGTTTGTCGTCGAGGGTTCTGGTCCGAATCTGTTGGGTAGAGACGCGCTGCAGACGCTAAAGCTCAACTGGAACCGAGTCTTCAATGTCACCGGAGATCTGAGCAGTGATCTCCTGAGCAAGCATCCTGATGTTTTCAAGCCCGGACTAGGCACCTGGAAGCACGGCAGTGTCAAGCTTGCAGTCGACCGCAATGCTAGACCTCGCTTCCTGAAAGCTCGCTCTGTGCCTTATGCTCTACAGTCTGCCGTGGAGAAGGAGCTGGACAAACTAGTCGACAACAATGTCATTCAGCCAGTCGAATTCGCTGAGTGGGCAGCACCGATTGTGCCAGTTCTCAAGAGCAATGGCCAAGTCCGCATCTGTGGTGATTACAAGTGCACTGTTAACCAGGCAGCCAAGACAGATAAGTACCCATTGCCGAACATAGAGGATTTGTACGTGAAACTTGCTAATGGCCGTTGCTTCACCAAGCTGGACCTCAGTCAAGCTTATCTCCAATTACCACTGGATGAACAGTCTAAACTTCTTACCACCATCAACACCACGAAGGGACTGTTTGTGTACAACCGACTGCCTTTTGGTGTGTCTTCGGCCCCGAGCATATTTCAACGTACGCTCGACCAATTGCTAGCTGAAATACCAATGGTCGTGATCTACTTGGATGACATCCTTGTCTCTGGCACAACTCGTGAAGAACACGACAAACATCTGAACATGGTTCTGGAACGTCTCAACGCAGCTGGATTGCGTTTGAACCGCACCAAATGTTCATTTGCAAGGTCCTCTGTGACATTCTTAGGTCACATCATCGATGCATCTGGAATTAAGCCCACCAAGGAGAAAGTGCAAGATGTCATTGATGCAAGGGCTCCTACCGACGTCCAAGAGCTGAGAAGCTACCTCGGACTAATCAACTACTACCACAAGTTCATTCCTAACCTGAGCTCAGTACTTGCTCCGTTGTATGAACTATTGTCTTCCAAGAGTTGGGACTGGTCTCATCGTCAACAGTCCGCATTCGAGAGTAGCAAGAAGCTGCTCATTGACTCACCCGTCCGTGTGCATTACGACCCTAAACTACCAATTATTGTGAGCTGTGATGCCTCACCGTATGGCATTGGTGCAGTTTTGTCGCATGTTGTCAATGGCGAGGAGCATCCGGTAATCTTCGCATCGCGTACCCTGTCGTCAGCAGAACGAAACTACGCACAGATTGAGAAGGAAGGCCTCGCCATGGTTTTCGCTGTCAAGCGATTCCACAAGTACCTGTATGGCCAATCATTCACTCTTCAAACAGACCACAAACCTCTGCTGGGTTTGTTCAGCGAGTGTCGGCCCGTTCCTGCTATGGCCAGCGGTCGTATTCAGCGTTGGGCGCTGATGTTAGCCAACTATGACTATGAGCTACAGTACAAGCCCGGCAAATCGAATGGAAACGCTGATGGTCTCAGTCGTCTGCCGGCACCAACGCCAGAATTCCAGGTTCCCGTGCCGGCTGAAACAGTTTTGTCAATGACTGTTTTGGACGGAACTCCCGTGACATCATCGAGCGTTGCGCAATGGTCTCGCCGTGATCCAGTACTTGCATTAGTTCTTAAGTACGTCCAGGAAGGCTGGCCTAACGACGTGCATAGTGATTACCAAGCGTACTACCGTCGTCGAAGTGAACTCTCCATCATCGATGGGTGCTTACTGTTGGGGTCTCGCGTTGTCATTCCGCCCCAAGGCCGAGAAAAGTTACTGGAAGAGTTACATTTCAGCCATCCCGGCATAACCAGAATGAAGTCGCTCGCCCGCAGCTACGTCTGGTGGCCATCGATCGATGCCGAAATTGAACTCAAGGTCCGCAGCTGTGAGCCATGTCAAGCAACCCAGAAGTCTCCAGCACTACAGCCATTGCATCCCTGGGAGTGGCCAGGCAAACCCTGGACCCGACTGCACATTGATTATGCAGGCCCTGTGGAAGGCAAGATGCTACTTGTGATCGTCGACAGCCACAGCAAGTACATCGACGTGCACGCCGTTCCATCTGCTACGTCGACAGCTACCATTGGCAAGCTTCGTGAGTGTTTCGCTACACATGGTCTTCCGCAACAGCTTGTCTCGGATAATGGCTCAGTGTTCACCAGCTCGGAGTTTCAACAATTCTGCTCAAGTAACGGTATCAAGCATACCTTGGTTTCACCCTACCACCCAGCAAGCAACGGTCTTGCTGAACGAGCAGTTCAAACAGTCAAATCCGGCTTGAAGAAATTGTCAGGTGCTGGTGGAGACCTAGCGTCACGGTTACACCGCTTTCTGTTTCATTATCGCTTAACGCCTCAGTCAACAACAGGCCAGTCACCATTTCAGCTGCTTATGAACCGCACGCCACGTTCTCGTCTTGACCTGACGTTTCCAGATACATCAGCACGTGTCTTGAACAAGCAAGGTGCTGCTGTTGACCGTCGCACAGCTCGGGCGTCGGATCTCTGTTGTGGTGATGCTGTTTGGGTGATTAACTTCACATCGACGCCTAAATGGATGCCTGGTGTGCTGGAAGAATGTCTTGGTCCAGCCACGTTTACTGTACGTCTGGATGATGGTCGCATATGGAAGCGCCATGCTGATCACATTAGACGCCGTCTTCCGTCCGAGGGAGGAGAAATGCTACCCGAGAGTGCAGGCATATCCGACCGGTCATCACCGCCATCAACTTCAACTTTGGCAACTGCACAGCCGCCGTCACATACAGATGCCGAATCACCACAGCCGTCACAGCCAGAGGTTGCCGCCAGCCGCCAGGATGTGGAATCAACATCGCTATCCTCTTCTGCATCTGCTGCACCTTCTGCTGAATCTTCTACTCAGTCTTCTGCTATCTCTGTTAATTCTCCTAGCTCTAATCTGCGCAGGTCTACACGCTCAAGGAAGTCCCCTGATCGTATGAACTTGTAACTGCAGACCTGCTGGGTTTTGCATTCAGCTCTCTGTTGATATTTGCAGTTCCTTAGTGTGTTACATTGAACTCGCTTCTCGTATCCGCAACAAATTATAGTGAACTCATTTCTCATACTATTGCTTATGTGTTCCTCATCTAATGGTGGAGGGATGTGATATCCGTACTAGTGAGCTACCTCACGTGATAGATCATTATCTTTCTACTCCTCTGCTCTAAGTTGTATCAGCCGCGCATGCTTTTCCGTTGTGCTGCGGAGCTTCTCTGTCGTTCTAATTCGACGTTCTAGTTTTGATCTTGAAGTCAACAGTTCCCCTTTTGTCTTGTCCTGAACTGCTCTGGTGTGATCATAATACATTATACTGGCACACATACAGCCAGTAGCACTGTCTTTGGTTTTTGTTTGTTTTGCTTTAAAAAATATTAAAGATACTTTATCTATTAAACGCCGAACAACAAACAGGCAAATGCTCCTTCTTCCAGTGCGGATATTCTCAGGACTTGTTTGCAAGTATATACCGTATACCGTGCGGCAGTAGATCTACTACGCGTAGAATCTACGTGCAATACATTGTACTTGTACGGGAGAAATCCGGAGAGCCATACGCAATGGTGATGGCGTTGCTGCGTTGTCGTCTTGGTTTTGGTCTCCTGCGTGCCAGTGTTGCCTGCCTTCGCGGTGCCCGGCGGATGCGTCAATGATCAGTCTGCTGTCCTCGCAAACGCGGAGGCTGCATTGATTTAACTTTCTTTGCAACTCCTGCAGTCTAGGTACTGAGTATCATTGTTATCTTGTGTGTGTGTGTATGTGTGTATGCGTGAGTCAACACTACAGCTTTGATAAAGTTATTGTGTTTACCCCTCTTGTTTTCTCATCATTGTGTTGCTTTTAATTTTTAATCTTGCCCGTAAAAGAGGCTGTTGTAACTTCAAAAAAAAACAAAAAAACTTGTACAACACTGGATACACAGTGCAGTGACGCTACGCACTCCACGAGTAGAGTACCTCGTAGTCTACTACCGCGTATACCGGTAGTCTTGTACTGACTGTTTGCATGTTGTAGACATCATGAGCTAGCTGCCACAGTTTTGCTTCCTGGATCCCTTCTCCACGTGGCCACGTTGCTCACCAGTCGTGTACAAATATGTAGACTCTTCTGTACAGGACTTTTGACGTGCCCCAACATCCAATGATCCATCTCCTTTTCACAAACATAAAGCTGGGACCCTACTACAGACATCATCTCTCTCTCTCCCCCACTCCCACTCCCTCACCTACCGGCACAGCAGTCGCGCATGAAAAAGCAAAACTGGCTTTCAAGAATCACCCACCTTTAGTGACCCTCCTGACCGATGGTGTTGTCGTATTGATGCTCTTGCTTGGGACTTGGCTGTAGATCGAACCCATTCACTACTACCGGTACTCCTCGAGGTGGGCTTTGAGCTAGTGTGGTGGCCGGAATTCTGCTGCCGATCCTGACAGCAGTATTGATGAAAGACGAGCTAAAAAGTAACTGCTTTGATGAGCATGGTTACATCGGGAGGAGGGAGGAGGACAACTACCTACCTACACTACAGAACCTTTGTAGTACAATGTACATGTACCAGCCTGCTACAAGTCCGACGACTTTCTCTTGTAGTAAATCATACCGACATACGTACTGAAAGTTTGTGAAACACGTATCGTCGTACCTGCAATCCCGTCGATTTCCACCCTACAAAGACGTACAAATTGTAGATGCAAGCAATCGGCAAGGCCGAAGGACCAATAACCAAACAGCAAATACGTGCCCCAAGGCCAAGGGTATCCAGATCTGGTAACCTTTCGACAGGCTGTTTCGTTGCCGGGTTCCACAAGACTTGTTTGTTCGAAAGTGTTAGTTTGTCCGTACGAGCACGCAGGAACGACTTTTACGTGAGTGCAGGAAGAGCCCATTTGTGCAAAGTCGAAACACTGCTGATCACCATCAGATGTGTGCACTGCAGAGCCAAGGCAAAGGCAAAGCCACTTTTCAGTTTTATCCCAGCCAAGTTAGTTTAGTAACTACACCTTCATTGGTCTCAGATCATCAGGTGAGCCGGAATCAGTGTTTTCAAATCTGTTCGGTGAATAAATTTTGAACCCATATTCGTCAGGCAGGAAGCCAAGGTCGAGGACGGATTTGGCATTTTGAAACGTCCTTGTCTTCTTTGGAATATCCCAGCACCCCTTTTGTAGTAGAAGCTCCGAATACAGAGCTGGTAGATCTACATAATCAGTATACATTGTGTGGCCCAGCGACACATGTGGCTTGGCAGAGCACCGTCACCACGAAGGTTAGGAAAGCTGTGGACGTTTGTTTCATTTCCCCTGATCTGAATAGAAAAACTGAGTGGATTTTGAAAGACACTTGGTCGATGATTTATGCAATAGAAATTTGACATGCTATTGTGCTCGTTGGTGCTTGGATAGCCATGAAACCAACTGAGGCTACCTAATGTTTGAGAATGGTGGACTAGTTCAGCTGTGAGTTTGCAACGTATAATTTACAGACATCAACAGTTTTATTTTTAGCTTGTTTCGATTACATTTTGGTCAGAAACGATAGTACTGTATGCAGAAGGAGACCGATGATTGGATGCTAGCACGTTAGTTGATTTGCGTGCACTGTCCGTGAATGTGTGAGCCTCACTGAGTCAACTCCGTACAGTATACAGGTGACCAATGTTGGTGTTGCTTGAAATCTTCCATGTTTGTCCCTGAGTGTATAGGAAGTGTGCATGGGGGCGTATGCGGTGTTATCATGTAGGTAGCTGGGGCGACAGTACAGCCTTGTGCTGCAGCCAGGCATTGCCAAGAGTACCTCCCCCCCCCCCCCCCAATAGTGTGCAACTCCAGTATGTATGCTGTCCCGACGGAATCTCCAGTCGACGTCATTGCTACGATGCAATGCGCACGGCACTGTACACGCTTTATCAGACGTATACTGAACCTGCACATGTGGTGGACAAAGCCCAGTTTGATCCCGTACAAACTAGTTTAAGGAGGCACGCATGATGCCCTGACAGTGACGCCCCGTACAAATGTCTCGAATCACTGGTGCAAGGAGCATTGCATCATAAGAATGACGTCGACTTGAAATTCTGTCGGGACAGCAGGGTATGCGGGAGTTTCCATACTCTTTGAGGGTCATGCACTCTTACTATCATGTACAATAGAACCTGTCAAGGCGACCACTCGGATAAGAGGACCACCTGTCTCAGGAGACCACTGTAACCAGGACCAAGGGATGCTATTTCCAGTCAATTGACCCTGGATAAGGAGACCACCTGGTAACAGAGACCACGTTTGAAGGGCTTGAGCGGTCGTCTTAGACAGGTTCCACTGTACTGAACTGCACGGTGGTCAGAGTGGATCCAATTTGACCAGGAAGTCGTTATTTGTCGACGTCTGATGTCGCCACCGTCAAGCCCTGTCCATTGGTCATGGCATCTTCTTGAACATGACTATGCTATTGAAAATATGGGTAATTATAATAGCTTTCCGGAGTGGCCTTGGGGCTGCATCCTGGCTTGTCACGAGTCTGAAATTTGTATGAACGTCTTGCGTGTCGTTGCTCGAGAGTGTCCGCTTTGGTGGACGAAAGTGGTGATCTCTGGTCGTAGCTCGTTTTCTCCTTACCTCTGCCTCTGTTTGTCCCTGAATGTAATGAGGATGCTAACCGGCCTTAGTTGTTGTTTTGCATTCTGTTTGTTCGTTGCAGCCAAGCCTAGTTAGTTCTGCAACGTTCCACAACAACTCTACCTGCCAGCAGACTACATTATCACTGACATTGTATTTATAACGGCATCTGAGTATTCGCATAAAGCCGGCCAGTGACTTCTGCGTGACGGGTGGATTTCAAGTGTCCATATAGGGAGAAGCAGACACACATCGGCGTTTGTGCGCCTTCCCGCTTCCGTTACGCTGTCCGGAACTAGCATGGCAACCAGCGCAGAGTGACGAATCGGCAGCACCGACCCTCGGCTGATTGGTCCGTGTATAGTCTGTCCCCAGCAGCACTGCAGTGTTAGCATCCACAAAGGTAGTACGATTGGCAATAGCTGCTGCCCTGGACTTCAAGCAACACAGTAAGATCACCGCCGCTGTAGTATACCACGGCGTTGCTCACGTGAAGAGACACTGCTCGACCGACGTTCCACTGCTAAGCACCTCGAGTGTTATACACCGCTGAGGGACGGTGACATCTCGTTGCCATGTTCCGTGGCGTAACATGGCCCCCCATGTGTCTCAGCCTCTGCGTTGCTCTCGCCGCTGTCTATAGTGTTCTGGCGGAGGGTGAGTGGAAGTAGCCTGTTGCAGAGCACCAATACTGTATGTATACTGTACTGGCAGAAAATTTCATCGGTCGATAATTTCGTCCAACTCCAAAGAAAGGAAGTGCGTCCGGTTGAAAATTTCGTCCATGGACCAAAAGAGTGTATTGACAAGCTGGACAAATCGACATTCGTCCGGCATTTCATTTAGTCCAAAAGGGTCCTTGGACGAAAAAGACGAAATTAAATTCCAGACGAATATTTCTGCTTGTACAGTAATAATATTACATATGATGTAATTTTAGGTGTAGTAAAATTTCCGTATCAGGAACCTGCCAGGTTTCAGGTGTAATGTAGAATTAGGTGACCACCGTTCCCTGCACATACAGTGCATGCTCCAGTGCCATTTAGGTGTAATCTAAGTTGAGTTGCCAGGTTTCTCCAAAATTACCGAAATTTAAATTCCACCGAAAATAGCGTGTTATACAGTACAGTCAACTTGGCTAATAACGACTGCGGATATAACGACAATTCGCGAATAACGAAAGCATTTCCGTGCCCAGAGCAAAGTCCCTTCCAACTGTAATACATAATAATGAGACTTTGGGTATAAGGACACTTCTTTGATGCCCCGCCGAGTGTCGTTATAAGCGAAGTTGACTGTATACAGAGAGATGTTTTTATGGTCCATTGAGTGGTCGTCTTAGACTGGTTCCACTGTATAAACGTTGTGTGCGAACAAGGTCATGTCGGTGAGTTACCGGAACCGCATTTGCATATAGCGTGAGTCGGCGGAACCACTAGGCGATATGTATACAGCGCAAGTCGGTGGATTCGCTCTAGCTATAAGCCCATTGCACATTGCCAAATATGGCATGCACGAGTAATGCATGTGAGTACGCTGGGATCAGCAATGCACTGTTCAACACCCGCACGACCGTGCCCTGGTGGCTGTGTGGGGTGTTATGAGAGTACGAATGACATCATTGCGCAATGGGCTTGTTGCATTGCTGGGTGCCGCGACTTTTCCAAAACCTCTCTACTGATGATGTAGTCGCATAATCTCTATACTTGGGCAAACGTTGCTAAAATATCTGACGGCCAAGGACAGAGAGAGATCAGTGATGTATGCTCCAAGACTAAGGGTTGGCTCACATATCGCCGGTACGTGCCGGGAGTGAACGGGAGTGGGCCTCTTGCAACCTCTTCCCGGCGCATTGCGATTATGTGAACCAGTGCAGTCGTAACAAAATCATACGGTAAAATATCGCAAGGGACCGCCGGCAAAGTTGGACAGTGCCCAACTCTTGCGATCTGCCCCGGCACCGATCCCGTACGATTTTGACCAAAAGTGGTTTGGGAACCGTTTGCGCCGGTGATCGCCGGCTGCCCGAAGCCAGACTTTGTCAACATTTCAAACCAAGGCTCGTCCTAAATTTTCCTACATTGAAGCTAGAGACGAGGTTCGTTCGCCATTCTTGTAATCGCTTCAAGGTGGCAAATAAGTCAGCATACCAATCCGTCCTTTTCAGATGATCTGCTTGACTGTTGTGCAACTTATGAGACAAATACAATCCGCGATATTCATGTTAAAACAAAATGGCGTCACGATTTATTGAAAGTGGTATAGTTGGTGGTACGAGTGTTCAAAACCATTTGAACTTCATACTGTTCGTCTTCTTTTTGACATGCTCTCTTTCCATCGTCCTTAGCTTTTGTTTGTTGAGAGCTGTTTTGGCTTTCTCCTATACCTCTGGGGATGCCAAGTGATGGTTTTGAGAGGCTGGTGATGGCTGTGAGCGAGAGTTTGCCGATCGGCGTCGTCCTCGCTATAGCGATGAAAATACTAGTTACTGCGCACCTGGCAGATATCACAACACGTCGGAGCGTCCAGGAGCAAAGGAATCTTGGGTTTTCACTGGAATCTAGTTCCTCCAGCATCGTGTAGCCCACCGTTGGTGAATGGCGGTCCAGAAAGGTCGAACCTGGTCTTCTGCAGCATCTCGCAGTCCTGCGAGGCACACTGAATACGCCTGTCATGTATTCTACAAATAAAAATCACGAAGTAGTGGACTTTACAGTGATGAGTCTATCCTGTATGCTGCAAAAGACGCAGGAAATGTGACTGGTGTCTGTACACTCAGTGACTGGACGCCAACACCCCAGGCTTCTCCTGCAGGATCTGTTTGACATTGACATTATGGAGTAGGTCGGCATTGACCTGGTTTGGCAGCTATCGTAATAGTATCTGCCTGGTTGGATGTAGCAGGTTGGTGTTTGCTCGTCGTCCAGTCCGGAATTTCTTGTAACTCACGGTGGAGTACGCGCAGGGTTTGTGATCATTCCTGTTCACTTCAATATTATCAAACATAACGTTCCCTTTGTCACTCATCTTATCCTGAGTACTGAATTTGCTGACAATATTGCACCACACTTGTCACAACCTACCGCCACTGCTGGCGGTGGCGACTGGTTCGTCGATGGTGGTGACCAGGCTGACTGACTAGCTTTGAGACAGCGGCCTCGTTGTCAACCCCGCGGCAGCCTAAAGGTTGATTTTATCGATCCAGCCTCAGCGCCATGTTGACGATGCCCTAGTGACTGTGTGTCGTGGATTGCCTTGCCATCAGCGGTCATTGCCGTCCACCTTGATGCAGCCCTCAACAACTGGCTCAGCCCATGGGAGTCTCAAGTGGACAAAGGTTTTGCCAAAGTAGCTCAGAAGATTGGTGCATCGTGGTGTAGGTGAGCACATAACTAGGACTTCCCAGCGCCTATTTGTCCAGGCTGCGATACTATGTGACATGCTGTACTGCACATTCTTTTCAGCACTGCAAGGCCGGCAGCTGGACCGACTGCAGGGGCCGCGCACATGCAGGCCGCCTGTTGCCAGTGCAGCATTGTGGAACGTTCCTTCCTTCTGAGATCCGTGGAATAATAACTTTCTTTGCTTCAAAGCAAGTTGCTTACCTTTCTGTTGTGCTCCCAGTGTCCTTACAACAATAACCTACAGCAATGTTTTATTTTCCTTTCCATTCCCCAACCAATGAATACTACGATGTCGATTCTATTTCTGAATACTTTAGTGTGTGCCCGCGCACGCACGTGTGTGTGTGTGTGTATACCTCACTCGCCACTCGAAGTTCTGTTCCCCATCACTGGAACACTGCCTGTTCTTTCAGGACCTGCCATCATCTGCGGATGGGCATTCAATGATTGTATTGTGTGTGTGTGTTTCATTCAGAATCAGATCCGCTATCGTTGCTATAAGAGAAAATCTGTGGGTTCACATCCAGTGCATTTGTAGATTTGCGTGCTTTTCTCGCCACGGGCGCATACATGGGACATTGTGTGTGTGTGTGTGTGTGCGTCTGTGTGTATGGGGATATTGTCTGTATCGGCTTTTGGTACTAATGTTCAGGTCTGTGCTTGCATGTGTGAACATGAAATTGTTCGGTTCTGTGCATGCTGTTGCTATGTTGTATATTATTATTGTATGTATGTGTGCATTTCCACGAACAGTGTAGATGAGCGTGGAGAGGGCATTCATCCCTCATCAACCACTTCCCCTTGGGCTTACGAGAGTTTTTTCTGCGTACCTCTCATTTTTGTTTGTTTCTCTCTGATACTGTATTGATGCCGGTACCTGTACCTCGATGTGTTCCTCTATCTGCAGTCGCCTTTATCCTTCGGTCAAGTTAACGTTTATTGTGCTCTATTTATCGTGCGAATCAAAATAAACAATAATAACACAAGTCATGCTAGAGTGACGACATGTGCGTGTAGTAGGGTTGATGCGATGGGAAGTTATAATTAGGTGGAACAGAACACACATTGGGCAGATTGATTGGGCATCATTGATTGTGCTCAGTCTAAACAGTGAGCGTAATAATTATCTCCAGTGACAGACTGTAGCGGCTAGCCTCCAATAGGTAGCTGGCACTAGTCGCTACTGCTTGTTTGACAGGTGCCGCCAGAACCCCTGTTGTGTCATGCTATAGATGCACATGCCCTATTGTGGGGCATACTGAGGTACTTTGATTTTGTTGACTGCATGTAGACAGCATCCAATAGTAGTACTCGTAGACCTTGGCTCTTTGTAGGTCAACCACCATGGCATGGATCGATCGGTGACTATGCACTTAGAGGTTGGAATAGCCCGCGCTGAACAGATCTTGCCATGGCCCAGGGAGTGAACTCGCTTACTCGACTATCCCGGTTTTAGTTAACCAGCATGAGTGGTGCAATTTGTCCATACCATGTTGCGAGCTCACAGTTGTTTGGGCAGGCACCACGAAACAAAGCGAAATAACGGCGTGACTGTAGAGCAAGGAAGCGGCGAGACGGCACTTCCAGGACGAGACAGGCAGTAGAGATGTGTTCACAGCACGAGCAACCTCTCAAACCCTGCCGGTACTCCACAGTTACAAGAAAATGTCGGACTGGACGACGCGCCAATGCAAACCTGCTACATCCAACCAGGCAGATAGCTGCCAAACCAGGCCAATGTCGACCCACTGCATACCGGTATGTCAATGTCAAACAGATCCTGCAGGAGAAGACTGGGATGATATTGGCGTCCAGTGTACGAACACCAGTCACATTTCCTGCGTCTTTTACAGCATACAGGATAGACTCGTCACTGTAAAGTCCACTACTTCGTGATTTTTATTTGTAGAATACATGACAGGCGTATTCAGTGTGCCTCGCAGGACTGCGAGATGCTGCAGAAGACCAGGTTCGACCTTTCTGGACCGCCATTCACCGACGGTGGGCTACACGATGCTGGAGGAACTAGATTCCAGTGAAAACCCAAGATTCCTTTGCTCCTGGACGCTCCGACGTGTTGTGATAACTGCCAGGTGCGCAGTAACTAGTATTTTCATCGCTATAGCGAGGACGACGCCGATCGGCAAACTCTCGCTCACAGCCATCACCAGCCTCTCAAAACCATCACTTGGCATCCCCCAGAGGTATAGGAGAAAGCCAAAACAGCTCTCAACAAACAAAAGCTAAGGACGATGGAAAGAGAGCATGTCAAAAAGAAGACGAACAGTATGAAGTTCAAATGGTTTTGAACACTCGTACCACCAACTATACCACTTTCAATAAATCGTGACGCCATTTTGTTTTAACACGCATACGGTCCATTGAAACAAATTAAAAAATACGATGGATACATTGGCAAGTTCTTGTGACTTCATCAACGTTTGGCTGCATAATTTCAATACCATTGCTTACTAGACTGCAATAAAATGTGTAGAAGTAGTTTCCTGATCTCCAGTAAAAGGTAGCAACCAGTGGCCATCACTGAAAGACCTTGAACTACTGAAGAAACAAAGAATTCAAGCTTCAGTTGGCAAACCTGTTGTGGGATTTGGACACATTCTGTACAACTTTGTAGTAGATTTGGTACTCGAACCGTATGCGCAATGGATCGGGAGCTGGCTCACCGCCGATGTCTTGCGATGTCTTGCGGCGCCGATTTTGCCTATGTGAACCAACCCTAAGAGTAGTTTGTACGTCAGTTTCCGGGCAGCTGGCTGTTTCCAACATTGATGGTTTCAGCTCCCACGCGCATAGCCCGCATAGCCCACTGGGGGCACACCGTATGCGCAATGGATCGGGAGCTGGCTCACCGCCGATGTCTTGCGATGTCTTGCGGCGCCGATTTTGCCTATGGGAACCAACCCTAAGAGTAGTTTGTACGTCAGTTTCCGGGCAGCTGGCTGTTTCCAACATTGATGGTTTCAGCTCCCACGCGCATAGCCCGCATAGCCCACTGGGGGCACACCGTATGCGCAATGGATCGGGAGCTGGCTCACCGCCGATGTCTTGCGATGTCTTGCGGCGCCGATTTTGCCTATGGGAACCAACCCTAAGAGTAGTTTGTACGTCAGTTTCCGGGCAGCTGGCTGTTTCCAACATTGATGGTTTCAGCTCCCACGCGCATGGCCCGCATAGCCCACTGGGGGCACCTCCCCCCCCCCCCCCCCCCCGTAAAATTTCGACCTGAGTTCAGCATGCACATAATAACCATGAATGACATGCACCAGCCATCCTACACATATGCGGCCGTGCACCCCCTCCCCTAAAAGGGGGATCAGCTGCGCCCCTGGGTCTCATCAGCGGAGCTCCGAGTGACGGACCGAACCGATCGCAGTGAAGTCGAGTGACTGGCAGAACTGTTTTCAGGTCGGCTCAAACTCTCATCTCTCTGGTGGAAATTGTAATGCAATGCATACGGTTGTTTGTTTGTGTGTGTGTGTGTGTGTGTGTGTGTGTGTGTGTGTGTGTGTGTGCGTGTGTGCGTGCGTGTGATGGTGTACGCCCGTGTGTGTGTGTGTGTACGCCTGTGTGTGTGTGGGGGGGGGGGGGGGTGCGCGCGTGCCCGTGTGTGTGTGTGTATGTCTCTCACTGTCTGTCTGTTTGTGTGTGTATGTGTATGTGTGTGTGTGCATGCGTGTGTGCATGTGCTGTGTGTTATCTTGACATGCTAGTAGCAGCCGGCGCCACCGCACCCGTAACCCTGGCAACAGCTATACCCACCACCACCCCACAGGGCTTCGCAGAGTGCCAGGTCGGCGCGCCGCCCGTTGCCCACAGTCGGCTGGTGGCAAACGCAACACACGCACGCCTGCGGTGTCGCGACGGCTTCTCGGCTCCCGACGACGGTGTGTCCCGACCAGACGGTGCTTGCAATTTGACCAGCCACGTCTGGACGACTGTACGGCTTGTGTGCTCGGGTAAGCATGTCTGTGTCCAACCCTGTGTATGATTTGGCAGTGCATTCGCGTACATCTGGTGTGCACATACTTTGTCTTGCCGCCGCGTACGGTAGTAGGCACTTTGAAGTACATGCGCGCTATATGAAGCCCGATCCGAATTGCGCAGAGAGAGAGAGAGAGAGAGAGAGAGAGAGAGAGAGAGTGTGTGTGTGCACATGTGTGTGTGTGTGTGTGCACATGTGTGTATACATGTATGTATGTACGTGTGTGTACGCGCGTGTGTGTGTGTGTGCTCGTGTATGTGTGTGTTTGGGGAGCTCTCTGCAACTCGACCGCAGCACGGCCCATGCAAGCGTTGGCGGGTTGTGGTTGTGGACGACTTCAACCGCATTCATCCACCTGTCCCGGAGAAGGAATGGCTCGACACTGCCCAGAACCGCTCGGGGTGGAGAGAGGTCATCCACAGTCGTCCTCAGCCTCGTGATGTCTCCGCCAAGCCAGAGTATCGTTGTGCTTGCGGGAAGACGTGTTGCCGCCCCGGCGATCTCAAGCTCCACGAACCTTTCTGCCGGTTGCCGCCGAATTAGTCCTTTCGCCATCATTGCCTATGGCAATGGGCAAGTTCAAGGTTCATGGTGTGTGTGTGTGTGTGTGTGTGTGTGTGTGTGTTTCTGGCTGGCAGACATTGATGAATGCCTACTGGCCCAGCATGATTGCAGTGACAGCAGCATCAGCACCACGCCAAACGGCACTTCAGGAGGTATCCCGGACACGCTTCTAGCCACTGCAATCTGCCAGAATGTACCTGGTTCGTATGTGTGTCGTTACGGCTCCATCGCCTCAGCGGTACCCGGTGGCAGTGTCGGTTCAACGCTTGGTCCGCTCAGTGGGAGTATGTCGCCGTCTGCTTCAATTGCTGGTGAGTTCCAAGTGCCTGCCTGTGTGTGTGTGTGTGTGTGCGTGCGCATGGTGTGTGTGTGTGTGTGTGTGGTGCAATGTGCCCGGTGTGTGTGTGTGGCTGTGTGTGTGTGTATGGTACGTGCGAGTGTCGAGATTGTAGCCAGAGCTGCACTGAGCGACGCTGTACCCCCCCCCCCTCCCCTTTAGGTAGTGGGCGCCCCTTTCAAAATGAAAAGTACACTGACTGGTTGGTGCCATCACTACTACCATGTACATCTACAGTGCAGCATTGCTCACTGAAATCCGATCAAGCCAGTCAATGCCACACCGGGCGCTGTGCAGCCCTAGACCTGCGGACACTGAGCCGCGAAATGGTGCAGTGACATGGTGCAGGGTGCACATTTGGTGGTTGCATACGCCGTGTCCACGTTGTACAGATGCACGAAATCCCGTAGAATCTCGTAGAATCCCGTAGACACGGTTGGTTGTGGAATGTGCAGGACCCTATTGTGTTTTCTGCTATTTCCACTAAGAAATGGGCCCTGAAGGCAGTTCATACGAAACCCTTTTTTCCGACAAAGATTTAGCTAGTCATTAGTGCAAAAGGAGAAGGACGAAATGTTACGAGTTATGACTAACCGTCCACCAACGTAACCAGATCTTATACAGTCAGCGAGTGTGAACAAATGGCACAAAACTGACAAAGAGTACCGGTACTGAGACAGTCGGCGACCTGACACCATAATTTCACCATAATTTAATTGGCTCACCATCCGAGTTCAACTAGTCATTAGTTCTATCAAGAGTAGATAAACAAGAGTGTGCAACTCCGGATCTCTCCTGCACAATCTGCAGATACCCCGCCCATGGCGGAATTTTTTGTTCACGTCACCTTTTTTTCAGAAGAACGCGCACTTTGCCGCAGAGCAGTGTGGGCGCACGTGCTGGGCACCGACCTTGCAGTGTAAAGCCGGCCAAGAGCACGAGGGAACACTTTTCGAAAGACTCGCGGTGCGTGCGTCGTCGAAAAGATTACGTCAACAAAAAATTCCGCCGTGGGCCTACCCATCCGCGAGTTGCACACTCTTGTTTATCTACTCTTGGTTCTATCCAAAGTGCTGAAGCTGGAAAAGCGATTGTTCGCCATTGATAATAACTTAATAAGGCTAACTAGGTCAAATGCGCATGTATAGCACACAATGAACACCCAAGCGGGCATGTACACACCTATAGCCTAGTACAGAACTTCGAAACTCTGTACAGTCGGACCTCGCTTATCCTGTCCTCTTTTATCCGGATCCCTCGCCATCCGGAAGAAAATTGTTGGTTGCCGATTTACAGCATAATTATGTCATGCATACATACAGTATGTGTGTTTGATTATCCGGTTCCCTCGCCTATCCGGATATTTTTGTCGAAAACGGATGTGTGCGGTTATGCGAGGTCTGACTGTACAACGCGCATAGAGTCTATTGCATTTGTTGACATCGAAACCAGAGAGAATGTGTACGCCGCAAGAAGCACCTATGGCTGTGTTTACATGAGAGTTTTCAAACCCGGGTCGAGTTCAGCCCGGGTTGAAAGTCTGTACGATAGACAAAATAGGTGGGTGTTTACATGAAGCCAGTTGACCCGCGTGAAATACTGATATGCCGCCAAAAGTCCACTTCTACAGTCCTGTATGGTCACGTGAATCCTTTCACGCGAAATTTGCATGTGCAGTGCTATTCAAACCTGGTGCGAGATACGCACAGAAGTACGTTAGTACGATTTTCTCGCCCCGGGTTGATTTCAACCCTCCCCTTGGGGGAGGGTTGAAATCAACCCGGGTCAAGCGCAATGCGTCTTGTAAACGCACCATTCATTTTGTGTACATGGCAGTTTGAAATCTGACCCGGGTCGAACTCAACCCGGGTTGAAACACCTCATGTAAACACCGCCTTACTAGCCTTGCATGCAACCGTGTGCAATGTTGCATGCATTCGGTACAATTATACTACAAGTTATACCATGGTACGGTACGGAGGGCCTGTTTTCAGCCAATCAGCGCTCGTCTAGCCATGGTTATATTGGCCAGTATATCCCGCGCGGGATTTATATAGAATATAAATCCCGGTGAACGGTACGTACGCTAGGGCACTGCCACCGTACATGTTCACTGCCTGAAAGGCAGTGAACTTGTACGGCGGCAGTACTCCAGCGCACGGACCATACATAAACAGACACAACGGACACCACATGCACGTGTACACTCCACACAGAACGGCATGACGAGGAACAGTACACAATGGAAAAGAAGAATGACCTGGAATTCGTCTACCGAGTATTCTATTATACTGAATCTGAGGATAAAGAACGTCGAATAACCACGAAGTATCCCGAATGGGTCAGCAATGTACATTGTACTTCGAAGAGTTGAAGATCATCAACAGACTGTCTCCTTCGTAAATAAGTTTATAATACCAGTGTACATGTACTTCAACCCGATTGGAAAAGGCTATAATAGATTGGATTGAAATGTGATACAAAACAGTGCATGCAAATGCATCTACTTGCAAGCAAAACTGATTATAAGATGCCGCATGTGAAAATCAGCACTGTACCATAATTATAGTAACACTTACTCCCAAAGAGTCTGTAATCTAACTAGTGACGGTAGTTTGATTCAACGACAAACTCCAGCACCGCAGCAATTCAGTCGACTTCCGCACCGCTCACGACTCAAGACAAGATCATGAAGATGCTACAATATGCACTGGTACTGAAAGGAAATCTTATGCCAAACATCCACGGAGGAATCTCCTTCTGACCTTGCTCGACCATTCTTTCAACTGACAACTGATAACCATCAGAAGATGTTCATCACGGTACTGCATGATGTAGGAGATCTCCAAATATGTTCGTTGTTCTGGAAATGCGTAGGGGTACCTGGCATAAGTAGGATATGACCCTCGTAGTCGGGTTATACCGTACCCTCATATAAATCCCTCCTGCTATCGCAGTCGGGATTTATATTCAGCCGGTATAACCCTCTGACTCGGGTTATATCCTCTACTTCAAGTCAGATCAAACCGAGTTCAGGAGGTGTTCTGCCTACTTGGCCGTGTGTACGTATCCGCCTTGCTGCTTGACCAAGTCAATTTCGTATCGCAATCCTAGATTGGCTAGGGTACCCCGTAAGGAGACCATAGGTCTGTGGAGACTGCCCTAGAGAAATATGAATAAATACTATACTTCACTAAATACTATACGTATGCACTACTGTGCTAGAATCCTAGCCAAAAATGGAACATCTAGATCCCTGCACAGCTAATGTGTACATCTGGTACACAATCGTGATTGTATGTGTTTCTTGCAATAGTCCTTTATATGCATGCTGTACAGATGTACGGAGTTCTGTACTAGGACCGCAGGTGTTTACAGACACGGTTGGGTGTTCATTGTGCGCTATCTCTTTGTCTGTCAAATCCTATATATAGGATTTTTCCCAATTTTTGGGAAAGAGTAGATCATATCTTACAAAGTAAAGTTCTTTCGTCAACAACCTGTTGGAGGCTGCATTCCGTGTTTATCAGAGATGATGCCTGCCAAGTTTCACCAGCACAAGGGCTTTACTTTTTCTGTAAAGGGCCTTCCCGTGCAAGAGTGTCCAGAATTTTCAAAATCCTATAATATTATATAGGATTTGGCCTCTTCAAAAATTGGTTTTGTTCTTCCCAGTTTCCCCTGCCAATAAAAACCATAGTTGGCAATATCCAAGCCTAGATATAGCCCATATGGAGCTAACAAAAACATTCTATGCATCTATGGCTAAAGAATAAGGACCTCCTAGGCTAGTACCAAAAGAGTACTCCACGATTAATACCGGTATGTGTACATACTTGAACACAACTGATTTAGTAAATGCCCCAAACATGTAGTGTCTTTAGTTCATATTGATCTGCGAGCACTTTACAACACTACTTCAATGCTAGGATGGTGCTAATATTCATCTATTCCACTCCTTGTCTATTTCTACCACTTGTAATTGCAATTCATCAGCAATAATTGCACACAGATACCTTTCCTGGGGGTCTTAGCCAGTGGGATGGTCTAAGACCATGATTGAGAAACAGAGGGTACCAGGTTCAAGTCCTGCTTGGAAGCGGAAGGATTTTTTCCAGCCGTGCTGCGACCCACAGTTAATTGGGAACTCGTGGCCTGGCACGAGGGAAACATGGATGCAGTGAATGGGATTTCGGTCTTTGACCACTTTGTGGTGGGTCTGATCTACTCACCTCCCACCGCTTAGGAGCTGCATCTGCGCCTTGATCCAAGAGGGTGGTGGCGTCACGTCCTTTTTTTTTTTTAGCCAATGAGTAACCTCTATTCATTCATTTTAAATAAGGAGAGGCATTGTGTGAAAAATCAAAATGCATCTTCAATAACATTGCTTCACACTTCGACCATTTTCGAGGCTGCAAATGCGTCTTGAAGTCTAATCCTATATATGGGATTAACTGGTGACAGACAAAGAGATACATGCGCATTTGACCAATTTTAACCTCATAATTAATGACAAACAATCGCTTTTCCAGCTTCTTCACTAACGCTGCGTTTCATGTAATAATATTCTTCACTTTGGTTAGAACTAATGACTAGCTACATCTTTGTCACGGAAAAGGTTTTCGTATGAAATGCCTTCAGGGCCCATTTCTTAGTGGAAATAGCAGAAAACACAATAGGGTCCTGCACATTGAACACCCAACCGGGTCTACTGGATTCTACAAGATTCTACGGGATTCTACGAGATTCGTGCATCTGTACAACGTGCATAAGGCTTATAGCAAAATTCCCAGACTGCCTAGAGTGCTCAACACCACAACGGGATGGAGCATTACCACAAAAGGCAGAAGAGAACAGAGACAACCGGATAGGTCATTGTTGTAGCGCTGCGTTTCTTGCACGTAGCAAAGCCAAGGGGGGATCCCCGGACTACTAGTACTGAACAGTACAACAATGATCTACCCGGCCGGAGTGTCCCTGTTCTCTCCTGCCTTTGTGTGTATGTGTGTTGTTTTATGAACTCTCTGCACAGTACGGTGTGTTGTGTGGTCCTGGTGCATGTTGTACAGATGGACGAAATCCCGCCGGTGTTTACATACCCGGTTGGGTGTTCATTGTTTGTTGTATACTTGATTTATAGTGGAAATCAAAACAGGCATACCTATGCGTACTAACAATGGACCCACTGTTGGATGTTCATTGTGTGCTATACTGTAATATACAAAATTTCGGCACTTCACGATTTTTGACATTTCGGCGGCGATTTATTTTCGGCGTGGGGTAGAGGGCATGGTATAGTGCGACAGATGCTGTGAAAAATTTCATCGGCGTTTTAATTTAGGCGTTTTGGGTCGGTGCCGAATATAGCCGAAATTAAATAGCTGCCGAAAATTTGTATATTAACAGTACATGATGTGCTTTTGATCAATTTAGCTCAATAATCAGTAGCAGACAGTCGCTTTTCCAGCTTCATCACTTTGAATAGAGCTAGTGACTAGCTAGATCTGTGTCCGAAAAAAGGTTTTGTGTGAAATGCATTCAGGGCACTTTTCGCAATGGAAATACAGTCAACTTTGCGTACAATGACACGTGGCGGGGCATCAGAAAAGTGTCCTTATTCGCGAAGTGTCTTTATACCCGAAGTCTCATTACATGCATTACAGTTAGATGGGACTTTGCTCTGGGCATGGACATTCTGCCGTTATTCGCGAATTGTCGTTATATCCGCAGTCGTTATTAGCGAAGTTGACTGTATCAGAATCACAATAGGGTCCTGCACATTTAACACCAACCGGGCCAAGGGGATTCTATGGGGTTCTACGGGATTTCGTACATCTGTAGAGCGTGCATAAGGCTTATATTATGCACTGTCCACAACTGTACTATGCTGTTTGATTGCTAAACTAAAGTTGAGTACCGACGGCCTACCACGTCTTGCTGGGCGTCAGCTGTGGTGGCATGCTGGTTTGAAAGGCTATGCACAAAGTGTGTCCAGCTGTCCCTCTTCAATTTCAGGTTGTCTGCCACCTGGTGTGTTCGCGTACATGCGTTTGTTTCTGATGGCGAGACGTTTGCCACATTATAGGGCAGGGACACGGCTGATTTATTGCAAACTCGGTATGGTCCTTCTCAAGGCTCGGACACAACTAATAACTAGGGCTACACCAGGTAGAGGTTTGATCGTGTGACGGGATTGAGTATTTCTATTCGGGTAGCACCAGGGGCGGATCCAGGAGGGGTTCCAGGGGTTCCGCGGAACCCCCTAAATTTCCTGAATGCACTGCTGGCAACAATATGCGTGTCCATGTACATGTATCAGCTATTCAGTTTTGACTATACTGGAACCCCCCTGTAGAGATCGCTGGATCTGCCGCTGTAGCACTGAGAGTAAATAAGCTCCCACGAGTGTGCTACTCTGCATACAGGGTCTCCGACGGGAGTAAGTAGGGAGGTTTAGTTCCCACGTAACGGAAACGCGTACGTGGGTGATCCACGTAAAGTGGATGAAGGGCATCCACGTTGCAATGTTGTGTTTAGTCACACGGAACAAACAAAAGCATAAAGCGAAAGGCCCAAACCTGGTCAAGGACGAAGCTACCCGGGCCTAAGAAGCTCATCGAATATTTTGATTTCGTGCTTCGGAAATTTCTTCAGCTGAGCACCCTCACAGCTCGCAAAATGCGCTCCATTCTGATTTTCACCCACGTTCTGGCGGAACGTGGGTGAGCCTCCATACACGGCATGTCGTGAATCAGAAAACGTCTGTACGTGGGTCACTGAGTATCACGTGGTACACACACGTAAAGTACCCACGGATTAGGTGCGACTAGACCTCCCTAGTCTCCGACGGCGAAAACCCGTATCACGTGTTCTAAGTATGATTTGTACAACCACGAACCCCATTGAAAGGCTGTCCAGAGTTTGCACACTCTTGGGAGCGTATGTACTCTGGGTATCATCATATCATGGATATCCTACCGGTCGCGGCCAGTGCACTTACATTGTGGTGTGTGTGTGTGTGTGTGTGTGTGCTGGTGTGTGTGTGTGTGTGCGTGTGTGTATGTATGTGTGTGTACGTGTGGCCATTGGAAATGTGTGGTGGCTATGTGTGACGGTGCCCCTCTCCCCGTGGTGTGTGTGTGTGTGTGTGTGCTGGTGTGTGTTGCAGGTTCAGCGTCACCACCACCACCCTCACCACCGGCCGCAGCATCATCCGCAGCCCTGTCTCTCTCCTCCGCCACACTGGCTGTTGCCATTATCTTCATTCTGGTGGCGCTCTTCCTGTCCTTCGTAGCCGGCTGGAAGTCAGCGCTGTACTACCAGCGCAAGATGGGCAGCACCGTGCGCGGAATCGACGGCGGCCAGCTCCAGTTCATGCACCAACGCCAGGGCAGTACACTCGGCCCGCACAACGCCGAACCGCGGGCCCAAATGAGAATTTCAACGGACACAGTCGCGTCGTCGCTGCGCACATTCCGCCGCTCGTTCCGCAGCAATCCGCGCAACAATTCGGCGGCCGGCTCGTCCTCTTCCGTGTCCGCAATTGCCATTCTGCCAGACAGTGGCTCGGACACCACCTCACGTTCGTTTGTCGGCACGTACGACAGCGCGAGCATGGCGCCGGGAGATCGCTCGACCAGCTGCAACATCTCCACCACATCCATGTGCCTGCAGTCAGCTCCGCCGTCCAGCATGCCCATGTCGCCGCGGAGCTTGCAGCGCCAGAGCTCGGTGTCAAGCATCGGCAGCTCGGTGTCGCTCTCCTCCAACTCGTCGCGCTCCCGTCCGGCCAAGCCACCGCCGCTCAAGTCGCCGCTGACCAACACCGTGCTTCCGGCCAGCCTGCAGACGGACAGGGCGCCGCAGCCGTTACCGCGACCGGGCCGTAGCTCCACGATATCGGTGGCGCCGGGGGAAGTTACCCTGGATACGGGCCCTGTTGCCAGGCGGCTGCAGTCGCCGAACTCGGCCACGCCGCCGCTGCTGAGCAAGACGTACGCACAGAGCACGCAGAGCGACGAGGTCTGCGGGCCCTTGATCGGCGACAGTGACACCGGGGCCTACGCGTACTCGGACGCGGAGCCCGAGCAGCTGGACGACGTGTACGAGAGCACGCCGGGCCTGGGCGACACGCCTGACGGGGCGCGCTCGCGGCTCAGCGTCACCACGTTCGTGCCCAACGAGGGTCACAGTCGGCGTGCCTCGTCCAGCACCACCTCCAGCATGCACGCCCCGAGTCTAGGCCATGGCGGCAGTTCCAGGTCAAGTATTGCCGGCGGTGGTAACTTGCTCGGACGAGGAATAAGCGAAAACTCCAGCCAAGAAGCGGATGAGTTGTACGCGGACGCTTGCCACACCGTGGAGGAATGCATGTACGATGCACCGGGCGAGCTTGCACCCGATCTGATGGGCACTGGCATGCAACAGCCCAGTTCGCAGACGACGAACGATGGCTGTCAGTACGACGCGCCCAGCTCGGTGTGCTCAGAGTACGACGCGCCCAGCTCCGTGTGTTCGGACTCGCCTGCTGTCGGCGGCGAAGGAGGCGTTAGCAGCAGCGGCAGCAATGTGCCCACTGTGGCCTCGACCATGCGTTTACGGCGTGGACTACCACCTGTGCCGCAACTAGCGTCTCAGGACGGCGACGCCATTAGCCATCGGGCGCCGCAGCCGTTGCCATCCACGGCTACAACCATTCCCACTGTCAATGCTGCCGCTAGTCTGGATAGTACCGGCAGCATGGGTGACACGGTGACGGCACGTAGCCCAATGCTACCGTCCGTGTCGCTGCTTCCCGGCACAGGCAGTGTTGGCAAGAATGAGCGTGACAAGCGCAGCACCAAGAAGAAGCCACTCCCGACCAGCCCGACGGCAAGAAGCGAGAACGAACGCAGCAACGGTGGCGGCGTTGGCGGCAAGGCTGCAACTAGACGAGACGAGATTAACACGTTCGCACCACCACCGGCACAGCCGTCGAGCAGTGTTGCTGCTGGTGGTGGTGGTGGTGGTGGTAAAGCAAACAAAGGCAAGGCGAAGTTTGGTCTGCCTCCAGCGCTGCCGTCAACCCTCGCTGTGGACACGCTAGAGAAGGAGAAGAAGAGAACTGTACCTCCGCCAATGCCGTCGACCATTGCCGTCGCCAAGCCGAAGAAAGACAAGAGCAGTGCCGTGTCCAAGTCGGGGCTGCCGCCACCACCGGCCACCGCTGCTGCTGTTGATAAGCGGTCGCGGGAAAGGGCTGCTCTCCCGCCCCTGCCCTGTGTAGGCGAGGCAGCGAACCGGAGACCGGGGGTGTTCCCGCCCCGTATGCCACCCTCGCCCTCGGGACCCATACCGTCGGCAACCAGCAATGGCTACGAGCAGAGAGACATGGACGAGCAGCTGTCTTCTCTGCGGCGACGCGACGACAGCTTAGAAGGCTACGAGCAGAACGAGATCATCGCGTCACCGTTATCATCGCGGCACAACAGCAACCACAACTTTGAGAGCAGTGCAGCAAGGGGTCTTCCGCTTGCTTCCTTCCCCCGTGTGTCCACAGCGGAGCAGGACGACGAGTACGAACGGTTCATCCAGGGCTCGGACCGTACGTCGTGCTCCGCCAGTGTCTGCTCCCGAACTCTAGCGGGTAGCGCCAACCACACTGCCAGTGGCGCGCTGCAATCCGACTTGTGCTACGACACACTGAGTGCGCACGGTCGTACGTCGCCTGGCGAGCAGGTCCAGGCACAGCCGCACGACGGCGGTGGCCTCGATGAGATGTACACGACGACGCAAGAGTCGCGCTCCAACTCATTGTACTCGGCGCTGGGCGGTGGACTGTCGCCACGGTCCTCGTCCGCCGCACGCGCCTCCCGCTGCTCCAACTCGGACGCTGCTGCAGGCGGCAATTTCGATTCCGTCTCGGCCAGCTTAATGCTTGGCCGTGGCGGCAGTAATGACGAGTCTCTGCGTTCAAGCACGCGGTTTTCTCGTCAACGTGGCTCTGCGGCTGCAGCGAGTCAGTGCGATGACCAATCGCCATGCTTGGATGCTACAAGCGCACGCGCGGGACCGGTGCTGGCGGAGGGTGATGAGTACGCGATTCCGGCGCGCGGCGTCGCCAAATCACAACACAGTCAGGACACACAGGACATGACCAGTGCTACCCACAGCACCTACAGCGCTCCCACGACGACGACGAACTCCACGACGCATGACCGTAATGCCGCCGCACAATACTCACCGATCAACATCACACCGTCAGCTCGCCACAACTCCTCCGCGTCCTCCTATTCGCAGGTTCAACTGTACGGCAAGTCCGCGTCTGGTGATGCTGGGACCGCTGACGAGGATTTCGACACGTACGTCTTCACGCAGTTCCAGTCCGCCAACGCGGCTCGGCACGACGACCCCGCCTTGTTTGACGGGCGGGCGCGTCACAGCTATGCAGGGCCCGAGGAAGGACTGCACTGCGATGACTCTGAAGATGACGATGCGGCTCTCGCGGAAGGGCAGCAGCTGGCGGATGAGGTGTATGTAAATAGCCTGGTGATGGCAGATAATGCTGCTGACAGGGACTGCGCTCTGCCCAACTCCACGTGTTAGTGTGTGTGTGTGTGTGTTTGTGTGTGTGTGTTTGTGTGTGTGTGTTTGTGTGGTGTATGTGTGCGTGTGTGTGAGTGTGTCCGCATGTGCGTGTGTAGGCGTGTATGGATGTATGCGTGTGACATAAGCGTGTGGGCGTCAACTCACGTGTTGCTAAGCACATGCCATGTACACGTGTTGCAAGTGCTGTTGAGAGATGCTGCACCACTGCTACAGTTACCAGCTAGCTGGGTCGTTGTCCTCCTACATTCCCTGTCCTACTACACACCGTTAGGCGCTGCATCTGCCGCTAGGGTTTATCGGGTGTTAGCGGCCGTCGTGAGTTCCCTTTGGGAACGGATACGATAATTTACTTTCTTTTCTTTTTTACTACACATAAGCCAAACTTATTCCAGTGGCGACAAGCGGTCTTGCTCAGGACTCGGGTTGAGTGATGGGAATAGCTCCTTCTTCAACCTTTTCTATTGTAGTCGGCATTGGAATTCTCCACCTGCCAGTTAGCCGGCATTGGTTTCCAGTGCCCTTCTTCTTCTTCTTCTTCTTCTTCTTCTTCTTCTTCTTCTTCGCTTGCCCAAGATTTTGTTGTAGTGCCTTCTTTAACTCCAATAGTTTTGCAACGGGACCTCACAGCTTCTTCCTTTGGTCCGCAGAGCATGTCCTTTGCCCTTCCTCTTGCCTCCTGTATTTATTTTTGTTTTACGTTTTTTCCCGAAGTTTTCCTTAACCCCACGCCGGTCTGACCCACCTTTAAAACTCGGCTGCTGAAGCGTGTCCTCTTTTCGCAGCAGCTGTGGGTGGCACGACTGCGTATTGTTTCTGTTTGCTGTTTTCCTGTTCGTTTTGTTTTGAAAGCTCCGCCAGTATCATAACGGTATTATTTTGATTGCACAGACTTTGGAGGTATTGTCACGGCTACTTTGATCACGCTAGAGTGTCATAGTACTTTTGACAAGCTTGATCAATTTTGTACCGGTAGTCACCTTTCACCGGAGCTCCGGGCTGATCTTTTTACATTGATGAGTTGAAGGTAGAGTTGGAGGCCGTTTTTGAATTTCAAATTCCGCCAGGTGTTGCAGATGTACAAGTAGAGCATGTATTGGAATGCCACGGTCCTGCTGGCAAATTATTTATTTATCTATTTCAATTTTAGATCACCTACTTTGGACACATAATGATGATAGTTGGTCGAGGCATCTCCTCCCAGCACTGCTCATCACTATTGCATGCCAGTGCCTGGTGTGCAGTCAGTAAAAATGCGCAAAAATTCTTTGCAGCTGTGGCTACCTGGAGCGGCTGCTCGTGTGTGTGTGTGTGTACGTGTGTGTGTGTGTGTGTGTGTGTGTGTGTGTGTATGCCGGTGCTTTCAATCTGCTGCTGGATTTAAACGGCACAATTGCGAGCGTGGCAAGCGACCAACAGCGAGGGAGCGTCTTGAGTTCAAGTTCTGCTGTGCGTGCGGCGAGAGATATCGCAGACAGCAGGATCTGCAGCGGCACGAGGCCGGATGTTCTGCCGCGACGCCATGATGCTACCCCTTTGTTCCCCTTCTCATGAGGGCAGCTTAGCCGTTTAACGGCAGCTGTTTGCCAAGGTCAAGGTGTGTGTGTGTGTGTGTGCGGTGTGTGTGCCGGTGTGTGTGTGTGTGTGTGTGTGTGTGTGTGTGTGTGTGTGTGTGTGTGTGATGGATGGATTGTTTCTATCTCATCTCAGGGGCTTCAGTTGGAAATTCTACGTTCCTTACAGCCGTGCGTTCCGGAATGCTACTTTTAGAGCCTTTCACGACTCCTAACGTTAGATTGAAGTATCCGTGGTAACTAGACGCCCTGCAATGACTTTTTAAACCGTATTTCCGCAAACAAAAGGCCGTCCTCGTATACAAGGCCGGGGCAGGGGCGATTGAAAAAATAAAAGACCGTCTCCGATTAGAAGACCGGGCCTACTAAATGAGTCTTTGTTCTTGTGTTAAAAATGGAAGACCGTGCTCAAACTGTGGGAAAAAATAGAAGACCGTGCTCAAACTGTGTAGAAGAAAATGGAAGAACGGGGGTAAAACTGTGTGGCGAGAAATAGAAGACCAGGGTCAAACTGGGTTGAAAGAATAAAAGACCGTCCTCGATTATAAGGCCGCGCTGGGTTAGGGCGAGGTTGAAAAAATAGTAGACCGGCCTACTATTTGTGGAAATACGGTAAATAATTCATTGGCACCTATACTGTGCCTGTGTAGCCGGTAGTGATGAACTGAAGTGATACAGGGATACGTGAAAGACTACCTGGCCTATAGTCTGTTTCAAAAAGATTTACAATCAGGTTTGGGTCTTAAAAAGTATGAAGATAAGGGAAATTTGGACAACAAAGTACATAGAATGGCTTGTTAGGACACAGCAAATTGTTCTGTGAAGGTTTCGGAACAATTGGATCAGCCGTTAAGGAGTTAGAATTTCGGCCAGGTTTCCGGCCTTTTCCATGGTTTACAATTTGCCCAGGAAGCCAGTATCGATTTTTTATCAAAACCCACGATTTATTCTTTCCTCTTTGGCCTTGTGGTTATGAATGCTGTCTGCTGACCATGAAGTTGTGAGTTCAAATCCCAACCTATCCTCAAATCAAACTTTTTTTCTTCATTGTTTTGGTGATCAAGCTGGTACAAGACAAAGAAGATGGCTGCACCAAACGACTTGTTGTTGTTGTTGGAGCTCGCGCTTCCTGCCGAACTGACTGGCACTTGACTGGCTCACGCCATGTGAACACACCCACAACACTGCAATGGTGTGAGTGAATATGGAAGTCATCGCGCTGTAGCTTTTTGAGATCTATTCTAGTATTTCAAGATAGCCAATTTATTTGAATTTAGCAGTCAACGCTGTCTTCTATCAGCGTTCACAAGCGTCTGCTTTTCTCAAAATGTCGTCGAAGTCACACGGATAGCTTTGCCAAGTCATGGCCTTGGGAATGAGTCCGTGTCGATGTCGTCGAAGTCACACGGTGAGTAAATTGCATCGCAGCTCAAAGAAACTATTTTGGTCACAAAACGAATTGGGACCCATGCCGCTCGTCAACATTTACAACACTTTCGTTTCGACTTGTCCTCTCTGACTCCATTATCGATACGAGGAAGAACTCGTTTGTTGTAAACCAGACGTACCTGACTGTATCAACGTGAGTGAGTTGTCATTTTTCCTGCTTTCGCGCGGAATATTTCTTCGAGTTCACAGTGAGTTTTTCCAGGCAGTGCTCGAGTGCTCATACGGTAAGACGCCAAACTCCGCGGGCGATCGCCAGGATTGCAAATCTTTTTGAAACGGACTGTAGGGCCTTGTAATTGTGTCTGGACCTGGTGATACCTCTACACTACACAACATGTTAAAAAACAGTACAGGACAGTGTACGAGATCTACCGAGCTCGCGCTATCATCAATGCATGTCCAACAATACATCCGTGTACTACCAAGAGTACATAAGTTATAAAAAGAAAAATAGTTTTTTTTACGCGAACAGTCGTGTCCGGAGCTCCAGCGAGCTTTTTTTTCTTTTCTTTCGAGTACTATTGTCTCACTTGTTATTCCACTGTATTATTACTATTGTCTCGAGCTAGCAGTCGCGTCGACATAATTCCTCCGTTCTGTTGTGCCGTGTGGGCATCCCGCAAGCCAAGGCCCTGCGGCTGTGCCCCTAGCCCTGTAGCTGTTGCTCCGGGGAGTTCTGTTCCGTTGAAAGAATTAATTGACATCGGGTCACTGGGCTCTAGCTCTGGCTATACGCTAGGCCAACCAACAATAATACCAAGAGTAGATCTGTTTATCTACTCTTGATAATACTTACTTCACAGGACACCCGTCGGCCGCGCTTCGACGTTTCGCCAAACGTTACGTAGATCTACTATTTTTGAAAATAGTTTCTGAATAGCGCGCTCTGGCTGAGCGTGGTACAACATACTCTGCCGACCACTAGCAAGTAGTCTGCCTCCTCGTTTGGTTTATCAGGCCGGTTTGAGAGTCACGGCCGGTCGTGTTTGGCTAGCTGCCATTCCTGGAATATTGGGATACTAGTAGATTGGGTCGACAGTGAGCTGTGGAAACTGCTGGACCGCGTGCATGCCGTGCAGTGCTCCGCCGACCGTGATGCGTAGCAGTGGAAACTAAACATTGTGGGCTCGACTGGAAGCACTGAGCGTTTTGTGGTAAGCATAGCAAGCATTGTTTTGGTCTCAGCATGACCTCTTGACTGTTCGCTCGGAGCCGTATTGCAAATCGATCAGTATTGTAAATGAAAACTTACTGGGGTGCTGTGCACATGTGTCGAGATTTTTCCATGAAAAAAGAGGAATTGTGGGGGGGGGGGGGTGCATACAAGGAAGTTCGCCAATTTCGGACTGCGGCGTGGAAATGATCAAGGGGGGGGGGGCATGATGGGCTTATACTCCAGTACGGCTTTGGGGTCGGTGAAATATCACTGATTGCACTGGTCCTTGCTTGTAACCTTGTGCCATTCGCCTGTGGGATAGCGCTAGGGCGGCAGGCACGTACGCAGGGGGGGGGGGGGGGGGTTCCCGTTGCCCGGAACCCCCCCCCCCCCAAAATGTTCCAAACGAGCAACGTTTTTGGGCATTTATTGGTAGGGCGCATGATCGATCTGGCAAGAATGCAAAACTTCAAAAGATCGTAACTCAGTCAAATCTCGCTCAAATCCAACGATCCAAATATCCAGGTCGAACAGAAAACTCTCAGCTGTCGGTTGAAACAATTTGTGAAGCGCTACGAGCAATGTATCGTGAGATAAATCATTCGTAAATTGAGCCGCGATCTCAGCAATTTCAAAAGCGCGCAGTGCGATTTGAGTATCGAGAATTTGAGATTTTCGTCGCGCTGATTTGCTCAAATTTGCAGGGGCTTCCCTTGGGGTATTTTCAAGAGTACACAGGAAAAAGTCGAAACTCTGCGATCAAGAAAAACGAAATCGCTGGAGCAGGACGTGTTTGGGCCTGTTTGGGGCATTTTTCGCACCGTCGCTGCACTCTACCGCTATAGCCTATAGGCTATACTGGCTATAGCGCTGGATATGTATATGACTGTACTGTGTCCTGGCTATCATGGTCGACCTCATTCTCTCCCTGATACCTTTCCACTTCCAGGAAGCCCAAGATAATGAAGATTGAGTGAGTAGAACTGAACTGAAGTTATGATCCAAACAACACGAAAAAATGCATAATTTTGAAAATTTCCTAGGGCTCTTTAGGAAGGGTTAAAACTAACACACTTACACACACTTTGTTACTCGTTGTTTGGGATTCGGTTGGAAACCCCCCTAGAGGTGACCTTGCGTACGCGCCTGGGCGGCCGGATAGTAATTGATCTCAATCCTCTGCCCAAAGTTGTACCTGGGCGTTCTCCACGTGCAGTTAACAGTTTCTTTTGAAACACATCCCCGAACGAAAACCATTTTCGTTTTGATTCAACTATTGGCAACCTTGGACCGCCCCTGAGCGTGCACCAATTTGATGTTCGGGGCAGAGAGGTGGAAGGCATGAGACTCCTTCAACTTGTACTTGAATTTGCTCACTCAACTTGTCTCCGTGGCGCAATCGGTTAGCGCGTTCGGCTGTTAACCGAAAGGTTGGTGGTTCAAGCCCACCCGGGGACGATGTTCTTTTTTTAGAATCCTTTGAAAAAGTCGGAGCATCCAAAAAAAGGTGAGACCGGGAATTGAACTGGGTGAAAACCAGAAATCCTTACCACTACAACCAAGAGTACATAACCCCCCAGAGTGTGCAACGCCTGATCCAGCTGTGCATAGGGTCTTGGTCGAGCGGAATCGGATCTTTGCGTCATAATACCATACACATCTGAGGGGAACCCGGGAAGTCGCGGGTACTCTCGGATCAAAATCAATGGTTCCCTGCCTCGAGACCGGCCTTGCGCTGGTGTGGAGTGTACGCATGACATCAGAAGATCCGATTCCGCTCGACCAAGACCCTATGCAGAGCTGGATCGGCGTTGCACACTCTGGGGGGTTATGTACTCTTGCTACAACAGACCATATGGGACTTGCACATGATGATCATGACGATCACTCAAACTTGTCATGATATTTTCTCTCCCATGTGCATTTGAAAAAAGTTTTTAAACTGTGCCGTGACTCCGATTACGGGCCGGGCACACTGAGGGAAAATTTGAAAAAATCCGTGGTTACCATGGATAGTTGACGCTGAGCGGGAGATTTGAGAGATTTAATCCACTCGATGAAAATCAGCTCGAGGCGCCGCTTTTCCGCAGAAGATTATTATCATCCGCGACTTCCACTGGATTTCTTTGAGTTTCCTTGTTTTTTTTATTGCGTTCTGAAGTGGAGCGATACTCTAGAAGCTGTGCTGTTGCAGCTCTGGCCCAGGAGCGGGGCTGACAGACTGCCAGAAGGGAATGGTGACAAACAAATTGCTCGCGTGAGTGAGATTTTTTTCATTGTGCGTATGCAGTGTGGCCGTGATGAAAAGCGGAAAAATATGCCTGGTTTATAATCTGAGGATTGTTCCCTCGATGTGACCGGCCCCTTAGAGTCGCTTACTTTCCAAGATGTATTATCCTGTGTGCAAATACCAACATCCCATTCAACCCTCGCACCCTCGCAAGTATGTGTAGCAAGAAGGACCCATGAGTGTGTGCGATGCTTTCAGAGCTTTCATGCTTTCAGAGCATGATGAAGGCAAGTTACGTAATGAAGGCAGCGCACCGCGCACTGACCCATAACCACAGTTGCATACTCTTGTTTATGCACTCTTGCTTCCACCTCTCTGCCCCGAATATCAAATTGGTGCACGCTCAGGGGCGGTCCAAGGTTACCAATAGTTCTATCAAACCGAAAACCGTTTTCGTTTGGGGATTTGTTTCAAAAGAAATTGTTAACTGCACGTGGAGAACGCCCAGGTACAACTTTGTGCAGAGGATTGAGATCTATCTGGCCGCCCTAGCGCTATCCCACAGGCGAATGGCACAAGCGGGTTACAAGCAAGGACCAGTGCAATCAGTGATATTTCACCGACCCCAAAGCCGTACTGGAGTATAAGCCCATCATGCCCCCCCCCCCCTCCCTTGATCATTTCCATGCCGCGGCCCGAAATTGGCAAACGCACTTGTATGAGTGAAATTCTTTTCATTGTGCGTATGCAGTGTGGCCGTGATGAAAAGCAGAAAAAATATGCCCGGTTTATAATCTGAGGATTGTTCCCTCGATGTGACCGGCCCCTTATAGAGTCGCTTACTTTCCAAGATGTATTATCCTGTGTGCAAATACCAACGTCCCATTCAACCCTCGCAAGTATGTGTAGGAAGAAGGACCCATGAGTGTGTGCGATCCCCGGTAGCCTAATCGGTAGGGCACTGTCCCGGAAAGACAGGGGTGCTGGGTTTGAATCCCGCTCGTGGATCCTTCTTTTGCAACATTGGCGCCTGGCAATAGCTCAGACCCACAACCCATCGTACCCCCCCCCCCCCCCCGCGAGTAGGTACGCCGTGAGGACACAGCCTGTTGGGGCGGGGGAGTAGTGTAGCAAGAAGGACTCACAGGTGTGTGTGTGTGTGTGTGTGTGTGTGTGTGTGTGTGTGTGTGTGTGTGTGTGTGTGTGTGTGTGTGTGTGTGTGTGTGTGTGTGTGTGTGTGTGTGTGTGTGTGTGTGTGTGTGTGTGTGTGTGTGTGTGTGTGTGTGTGTGTGTGTGTGTGTGTGTGTGTGTGTGTGTGTGTGTGTGTGTGTGTGTGTGTGTGTGTGTGTGTGTGTGTGTGTGTGTGTGTGTGTGTGTGTGTGTGTGTGTGTGTGTGTGTGTGTGTGTGTGTGTGTGTGTGTGTGTGTGTGTGTGTGTGTGTGTGTGTGTGTGTGTGTGTGTGTGTGTGTGTGTGTGTGTGTGTGTGTGTGTGTGTGTGTGTGTGTGTGTGTGTGTGTGTGTGTGTGTGTGTGTGTGTGTGTGTGTGTGTGTGTGTGTGTGTGTGTGTGTGTGTGTGTGTGTGTGTGTGTGTGTGTGTGTGTGTGTGTGTGTGTGTGTGTGTGTGTGTGTGTGTGTGTGTGTGTGTGTGTGTGTGTGTGTGTGTGTGTGTGTGTGTGTGTGTGTGTGTGTGTGTGTGTGTGTGTGTGTGTGTGTGTGTGTGTGTGTGTGTGTGTGTGTGTGTGTGTGTGTGTGTGTGTGTGTGTGTGTGTGTGTGTGTGTGTGTGTGTGTGTGTGTGTGTGTGTGTGTGTGTGTGTGTGTGTGTGTGTGTGTGTGTGTGTGTGTGTGTGTGTGTGTGTGTGTGTGTGTGTGTGTGTGTGTGTGTGTGTGTGTGTGTGTGTGTGTGTGTGTGTGTGTGTGTGTGTGTGTGTGTGTGTGTGTGTGTGTGTGTGTGTGTGTGTGTGTGTGTGTGTGTGTGTGTGTGTGTGTGTGTGTGTGTGTGTGTGTGTGTGTGTGTGTGTGTGTGTGTGTGTGTGTGTGTGTGTGTGTGTGTGTGTGTGTGTGTGTGTGTGTGTGTGTGTGTGTGTGTGTGTGTGTGTGTGTGTGTGTGTGTGTGTGTGTGTGTGTGTGTGTGTGTGTGTGTGTGTGTGTGTGTGTGTGTGTGTGTGTGTGTGTGTGTGTGTGTGTGTGTGTGTGTGTGTGTGTGTGTGTGTGTGTGTGTGTGTGTGTGTGTGTGTGTGTGTGTGTGTGTGTGTGTGTGTGTGTGTGTGTGTGTGTGTGTGTGTGTGTGTGTGTGTGTGTGTGTGTGTGTGTGTGTGTGTGTGTGTGTGTGTGTGTGTGTGTGTGTGTGTGTGTGTGTGTGTGTGTGTGTGTGTGTGTGTGTGTGTGTGTGTGTGTGTGTGTGTGTGTGTGTGTGTGTGTGTGTGTGTGTGTGTGTGTGTGTGTGTGTGTGTGTGTGTGTGTGTGTGTGTGTGTGTGTGTGTGTGTGTGTGTGTGTGTGTGTGTGTGTGTGTGTGTGTGTGTGTGTGTGTGTGTGTGTGTGTGTGTGTGTGTGTGTGTGTGTGTGTGTGTGTGTGTGTGTGTGTGTGTGTGTGTGTGTGTGTGTGTGTGTGTGTGTGTGTGTGTGTGTGTGTGTGTGTGTGTGTGTGTGTGTGTGTGTGTGTGTGTGTGTGTGTGTGTGTGTGTGTGTGTGTGTGTGTGTGTGTGTGTGTGTGTGTGTGTGTGTGTGTGTGTGTGTGTGTGTGTGTGTGTGTGTGTGTGTGTGTGTGTG